TAAGAATCTGATAAAACTATCCCATCAACACCCCCATAAATCACAGTCATGGCACCATCGTCCATATATGCTCTTTACAGTAGGAGTTTTGTCTGCAGCCTCTGACCTCACCTTAATGGTATGAATTTCATGCCAAGAAACGAGTCCTGCATGTACAAATCATCAGAAAATAGCCTTGATACAAATTCAGTATTGCACAGCTTTGAATGAATATGAGCTCATGAATCAAAGGATGATTCATGACAGTTGGAATGACAAAGATGTTTGTCGGTCTGCATCGCCGAACTGAACACAAAGGCACCGAGTTCACTGTGGAACAAATGTCAGGATTTTTCCCAAGGGTGACTTTCAGTGTGCTGTAATGAGAGTAATACTGTATAATAAAAAAATATCTGAATTTGCCTTAATCTGATACAGGTGTTTGGGGTTTAGACTCTTTAAAAACATAGAAATGAGGACATGAGTAATGCAACAATCAAAGGCAGCAGGAAAAGCACATAGTAGGATAAACTGACGAGGGGAAGCTCTTGGCTACAAGGACACTGGCAATAGATCCATCACATTTCATCTGTATTAGAAGTTTCAGTATAAATATAAAAAAGGTTTTGTCTATGTATACCATCATTAGCTAATCACATCAAATCTGCATTTTATTATGCAGACGGAATGAAAAGAGGAATATGACAGTGTTTTTATAATATTGTTAAAATGTTTATTTTCTGTACCTATGGGATTTCAGGTACATGGAGTAGGTAAGTAATAGTTCTGGGTGTTTTTGTTTTTCTTGATAATCTGTTGCAGATTTTGACTATTTTGGAAAAATCTTTTAGATGTCTGGTTTTATGAGAACAATGATTTTGTATGTGGTGAATTTGTGGATTTTTTTAAAATTATCTTTTATGTCCTTGTTTTCCCACCAAATTACATGGGGAAAAATTGAATTTGAAAATTGTTTACAATGCAAAACAATGTGCCATGAAGACATGGTTTCTTGCCATCTTGTTTAAACCCAGGGGCCTCGTGGATGAAGTGGTGCATGGCCACATCCTGACTTTAGTAATAGCTACATGCTTCTCTCCCTCAGATTACAGGCCAGCCTGCCAGAAAAATCCCTGGCTTTATTCCTGGAGCCAAGCTAGCCCCTTGTTGAAGCCACAGACCTGCTTCTTTCTGTTTTCATACTCTGTGTTTTGGTAAAGACACCAAGCACCAGCTCAATAACATGGTTTTATTGGGTACAAGGAAGCACGAGATACGTACTTTAGCATCCATGACCTTGTAGAAATGTAAGAAATTCTTTTTCTCATTGGCTGTCTGGTTGATGGCAGTCTGATGGAATTCCTGTTAAATAGCAGGAAGACCAAGATTGTTTTCTGAGGGCCTTAGTGTAATGTGTGATTAGCTTGAGAAATGGCCGTGTATGCAGACAGGACCACCGCTGGTCTTTTCATCTCCTCCTCTCCTTTCCTTCCCCTTTCCCGTCTCTTCTCAGGTTTCCTGGGTGCGACGGCGCCCTACTCCCTCGCCAACTCCGCTGCCCCAAATGCTGTTCTCAACAGCTTAAACACCTCCATGAGCCCTCTGCAGACCCCAAGCCCTAGCGCCCCCACACCCTCCCCCTCCCTCTGGCCCAGTTCACTCACCAGCACCCAAGGTTCGTACACAGCATTGCTGTTGTCTTTTCTTTTTTTCTTTTTTTTTTATTGTACTATGGTTTTCTTGACATGCTTTATTGTTTTAACCTGCAGTGATATTGTTATAGATGATACTGTGCTTCATAGAAAAACCATGCAACTTGTAGGTGAACTTGACTCTCTTGTCCTGGGACTATGATCTCTGTACCATTATTTCAGTAGTTTTTTGAATATATATGTGAATGCATGGAGGCCTTTCAGACCTTGGAGATAATTCCCTTACTCATATTTTGAAAATTGCTGATGCTGCATTCTTTTGTTTCAGGCTTCTCATCTCCACTGATGCTGCACCCCGCCACCCAGGCTACGCTCAGTAGCATCCTGCTGTCGGGCGTACAGGGTTACACACAGAGTACACCATCCCCGCCACCTGGCCTTGCCCCCATAGACAAGCAGCCCAGTGGGGTCCCTGATTGCACTAAGGGCCCCTGCACTCTCAATGGTCATGTGAAGGTTGGTCCACTGCTGCATTTGACTATACTTTGATTTTGTTTGGCATGTACAGTATATGTCTTACACTTTGTGTATTTTTGTGCATACACATGTATAGCATCCTGGTTCTGTATATGGGAGGATACCAACTGCATCACTTGCAGAAACTGTTTTGAGTCCAGCCCCATGTGACTCCATCCAGGAGGCCAGTGGACACAGCTCTTCAGAACCGCTGTCCAGCAAGTCCAGTGCAGATGAAGGTAACTAAACTTATAAGGAAACTCAGCCTTTCCTACACATTGCAATATAATCTTGTCATCATTAGATGTGATTTTTGCATTTTTCAGTGGCTAATGAACTTTTGTATATTGGCCAATGAAGAGCAAATTATTCTTTGCATAACCACATAATCACCAAGGCCTGCTTGAGGAAAATTGCATTATTTGTTCCTGAGCCCACCCACAGCCTGAAATTTATGACGCTACTTGCTGTAAAACATGTTTAAGTATGCAGGCATCTAATGTAGAGTAGATACAACCCTGTCCACATCCATTTATTCAGCCCTAAAGAATTCAGACACTAATAGAGGCACCTGTATTTCCTAGCTAACCTTCATGTCACCTCCCATTCAAAAGACCCTGTCCTCTTCAGATTTGGAAGTTGGGAGGCTGCCAGAGAACCCACATCACCTATAACATCTACCTTACCTACTGGACGCCTAAAAAAAATAATAATTGAAATAATTTAATGATTAAATTAAGATTAATTCTTGTATTTGCAGCCATTTTCTTTGAGCATGTGGTTTTTAAAGAAACTGTGGCCAGTGTTTTTTCAAATGTAAATTTTAACTAGATTAAGAAGTGAATAAAAAGTTACAGCAGGAGCCTTGTTCTTTAATAACACATTGAAAATTGAGCCATTTATGTGTGATTATGACTTTTAATAACATTTTTAGCTCTTTTCTACTCTCCTGGACCTTTGTCTCACAGATTTGGCTTAAATGACCAATTTAAACTTTTCCATTTGAGATTTATGTAACTCTTAAACCCACTTTGAGGAGAATGCCTTGTATGAATGTATCACTAATTCTCTATACTGCCCTCCTGACCTCACACTCCCTGTGAATACATTTGTTGTGTTGGAACAGACGGATTAACCTCTTGTCTCTCAGTGCTTCAGAGAGGCTCTCGTTTCCTCTGTTCTTACACTTGATGTTTTCCCCTGGAACCTTCACTCTCATGCGTCTCATTTTTCTTCGCTGTTTTCTGAACTGGTTCTCACCTAGCGTGGTATATCCCTGTAAGGATTCGTCTCCCTCTCTCTACCCTCCTCCTCTGTCCCAAAATCTGTTTAAACTGGCTCCTCTAGTTTGACTTTACTCTGCACTGTGGAATGAGGGAGTACACATATTAAACCCCAGAGAACTTCGTTAGATTGACTGACATATTATTTTACACTATACAGTGCACCACACACATTCAGATATTCTTGATTATACATGCACTCACACTTATGCACATCCTGTTGCACAGAGCAGGTTCTTGTCACACTGAAAGGAAAGTAACAGATGAAAATCACTATACTTGACAGCTGCCGTGTTTTTAATTAATCCAGAATCCATCTGAGACTTGTCACACTCTAATCTATGCACACATATGCCACACACACTCCGTTACACTGTGTAATCCAGTCACTGCTGAGAACTCACTATGCAAGGCAGAAAATATGCAGTATTTCAGCTACAGTTGTAGTAAAATAAAGAAGACAGAGAACAGCTGTCAGTTTGTGTTTTCACATTGTCGAAACATGGGACAGATTAAGTAAAAATAAATTAATAAAAATGATGATCCAAATATATTTTGTTTGTTTTCTTTAGGCTCTGACACATTTGTTGAAGTGGGCATGCCCAGAAGCCCCTCTCATTCAGCCAACGGGAGTGAACTGAAACAGATGCTGGCTTCATGTAAGACATCATCAGGGAAACGGCAGGCTGTGGAGCTCCTGCAGGGCACCAAGAACTCCCATCTACAGTATGTTGGAGTCTAGAGATCACTTACATCTTCTCTTGTTACTGTTTAGCATTCCCTTGGATCATATACAGCTTACGCTGTTAGAGTTTGGCAGGTTTCTGTTAATCATTATAGATGTGGACAGAAGTGAGAATGTGAACCTGACACAGATGGATATTTTGTCAACATGGAAATTGAGTTTTGACATTGGCTGCCATATGGGCTGGGGATAAATGGGCTAACCATGGCCATCATGGTTATTACCAGTAACCAACTGTATCCTAACTTGTGCATAGGCCAAATTGAGGCTACATTATTGCGCTCACTGCATTATATTTATGTGTAATCCCAACAGCTCTGACTGTCTTCTCTCGGACACCGAGTCCAGCTCATCAGACAGTCCTGTGGCAGATAAAAGGGCACCGGGTAGCGAGCGGGCAGCTGAGCGGGCAGCTCAACAGAATGAGAGAGAGAGAATCAGGCTGGCACCACAGACGTCCTTCGCCAACATGCAGGTACACACCTAATATCCAGTGCACACACACAAACTAAACTGTTCTGGTAGTATTAAGGCATAAAGTAAAAGAACTGTGTGCTGTCTTTTTAGGCATTTGACTACGAACAGAAAAAGCTGCTGGCAACCAAAGGTAAGTTGGCATTTGTTGGGTCAAATACTACAGCATCATTAGTAGTGCCTGGATGTAGCCCAAAATTTAGCTTGTGTGAAGACAAACTGCCTCATAAGCCAAGGGCCACAACTGTGACATCATCAACAGTTATTTGCCCATTGAAAGTTTCTGAAAAAGGACCGAATTTTCCTTTTGGAAACTTTTTTTCCTTATGAACAGAAGTTTATAGTAATTACTAGAATATGCCACTTTTTAGATTGCACTTTGGTGGATCAATAAATATCAATAATTCAAGCTTCACAAATACAAATTCTTCTAGGGCTGCAACTAATGATAATTTTAATCATCGATTAATCTGTCAATTATTCCTACAATTAAATGGGATGTATAAAAAAAAAACAAAACATCCTTACTATCCACTGTTTCCACAGTTTTTCAAGCGTGTTGATGTGGCTCATTGACGTAGTCACCCAGTCGCTGACCCGGCCATCTCACACAGCTATGTGACTAGACTCAACTAATTGATAACAAAAATAGCTGGCAGTGAATTTAGTTAGCGATTCATTGTTGCAAAAATGTGGTGTAAGATTTCAAGATGCCGACTGTGTGTTATAGTTCATAACCTTTACCACAGGTAACACCGTAATCATTGCGTAAAAATAGTTTGATCTAACTTGAAGGAACATGCACATCTGTATAGGTGTACTGTATGTGTGCATCACTGTATGTCTGTATTCATACAGCTATGTTAAAGAAGCCTGTGGTGACTGAGGTGAGGACCCCTACCAACACTTGGAGCGGTCTGGGTTTCTCCAAGTCTATGCCAGCTGAGACCATCAAGGAGCTGCGGAGAGCCAATCATGTGTCATACAAGCCCAGCATGAGCACCACTTATGAGGTCAGACATATGAGGGCTCAGCATTTGCCATTCTTTAGTTCCTCTGATTGAGCATTTACGGTCATTATGTTTTTGTGTTTGTCCTGCTTTATTCAGTGGTATATAGATGTTTCAGACCCTGTACTGAGATGCAGTGGGGTTATTCAGAACACCTTATCACCTTATACTTGGATTATCTTCCTTTGTGTTCTCTCAGGGCTCCCCGCTGTCCTTGTCTCGATCCAGCAGTCGGGAAGGCGTGGCGAACGGCAGCGACTCGGATAACTGGAGAGAAAGAAATGGCGCCGGTAATGGCCTGCAGAACCACACTGAGTTCTCCTCCACTGTCAGCAGCCCCAAGAGGAAACAGAACAAATCTGGTCAGTTTAGCATCACAAGGACAAATTTTTAAGCATTGCAAGCCTCAAGGACAACAGCAGTTCGTCCAGTGCGTCAATAGTCTGAGAAATTCCTCAGAAAAGAGTAACAGAATGCCATCACATATGAAGGAATTAATAAGTTTAAGATGAAAAGGTCTCATTTTTAAACTTGATTTTGTGTTTAATGAGCTTCAAGCATAACACTCCTGTAATTATGAATCACTGAAGAAAACCAAGGTTAAGCGTACACTCCAGAGAAAACACTATCTACCATCCAAAATCAACATGTTTTAACATTTCAGTATGTGCACTCTTATCTCCACACTCGCATGCATGTGTGAGTTTGGCTCATTCATGTTGTCAGTGTACCCCCTTCTCTACTTAAAAGTTCAGAGATAGCACTTTATCCAACTTCTGCTGAAGTTGCCTCATATACCAGTTTAGCTAATCTATGAAACTAATATTTGTCTCAGCAGTCGGTTTGCAGCACATTCAATTTTGTCATCTTACTCTCACACACATCGACTACTGTAATTAAAGACAGCGTAGTTTCTTATGCTATAGTTTGTGCGAATTTACAACTGTGATAGCTTAGATGTGAATTCATTATTGCTGTTTTTTTTTTGGTTAAATTATCATCACTTGTTTTGTCATTTTTGCCTTAATTCTTCCATGCACAGCTGCAGAGCATTACCTCAGCAGTAGCAACTACATGGACTGCATCCCTTCGCTAACTGGCAGCAACGGCTGCAGCCTGAGCTCATCTCTGAAAGGCTCAGACCTGCCCGAGCTGTTCAGCAAGCTGGGCCTGGGGAAGTACACAGATGTCTTCCAGCAACAAGAGGTAACGCAGAATTCCCACTTGTTGTCTGTGTTGCTGATGTGGCTCTAGGGATGGCCGTGTCTGTTGGTCCACCGCTTTGATCCAGACCAAAATATCTCAATACCCAGTAGATGGGTTGCAATGAAATTTTATTCAGACATTTATGGAGGGGGTGAATCCCACTGACTATGTTGACCCTGACTTTTCATCTAGAGCCACATTATCAGGATAATTTTGATAATTATTTGTCCAGTACTTTGATTTATGACTAAATGCCTGAAAGTCACAGCATGGCTATCAAGCTTAGGTGTACTTTGGCTTTCAGCAAATGTGAGCATACTAACACTAAATTACGTTGGTAAACCTGCTAAACATTACAGCCACTAAACATCAGACATTAGTATTGTCACCATGAGCGTCTTACTAAATTTAATTCCCATATGTATGCATATAACAAAAAAGAGCAATGTAAGGGAGCAGGGTTGCAACATTTTGCTGCTTCCTCAAAATTCAAACGTTTGTGCTGATGAATAGCATTTATAACATGTTTGTTGGAAATGTATCATGAAAGTACTTTTCAATTAACATGCTACCTGTTGAAGTCATGACATTTATGGTTGAAGGTCTGCTGTCACTAGTAGAGGTTGCTAAATTGTGATAATAGCTCTGTTAAATGGATTTCTGGCTGTCTTCCAGATCGACCTCCAGACATTCCTGACTCTAACAGACCAGGACTTGAAGGAACTGGGCATCACTACCTTTGGAGCCCGCAGGAAAATGCTGCTTGCCATCTCAGGTACAAATAGGTTTGCTGCATTTTTTTTTTTAAATGTTGTCTCTGTCTTTTTCAACCAGAATTGACAACAAACATTAAGAACAGAGGTACAGAGGTTCCAACACATGACCACCTCTGTCTCAAGTTGGTCTTTTTCTTTGCTGATAATCACTGATTGCAGCTGGAGCTTTGACATGCCAGCTCACTTCAGCTTGAAGGCAAGAGACACATATTGTTTATGTTTCAATGATGCTTTGTTTTTTGTCTGTTGCTGCAGCAATCCTTAGTGGAGCTCAGCTATGAAGACAAAATGTGTGCTCCTAATGACAGGTCATTTCCACTGCCAGCCAGCCACTGGATGTGAAATTTTAAGGTAGCCCTTAATATTGGCAGCCTCTAGTAAGAGAAGTTCAAGACAGTGTAGCTCAACTAATTTATCTTGTAAAGATTTGAGAAAACATGTTGCAGTTGTTTGCACCAGCAGGAGTGACTGGGATCAGGGCACATTCTTCTCAGATGAGTGTGTTGATATTTCTCCAGTTGCTCCAGCTGCCGCCCTGATGATGATCCACACTCTCTTTTCTCTGAACTGGCTCTAATGTGAATATTGTAGGTGTCATACTTCATTACTGATGTCATAATCTGGACATTGTGATAGCTGGAATTTAAGTGTGTTCGGTTGTTAGGCTGCATAAGTTAATCATGCTCCTGCTGGGACTGGGCTTCCTGTCGTGGGTGTTCTATAAATGTTCAGCTGCCAGACCTCACACCAGAACCATGGTCGACCATGAGAGCAACAAGAGGAAATGGTGAGGCTGGTGCTCTGATATTAAGGAAGCAGAGTGATCCCAGGCCTTCTTTGGTTTTGCTGCCTGATGCACCAAACACAGGTCAATGCTCATTACCGCTGTCTGCTTCAAATCAGAAACACACTTGCCTTTGTCTTTCTGTATTTTTGCCTCTTATTATAAAGAGACACCGTGCTGTTTGAGACAATCCAGGTTTTAACTTCCTGCCTGTTTGCCAGTAAAAAGATCTGCTGGAGTGAGCTGCCTGTCTCCAGTAATTTAAGTGAAGGTTTATGCTGGCAGCAGCGGAATGCGGCTATCATATGAATTAGCTCAGAGATGCCAGGGTGTGCTTCTGACATTTTTCTGAAAACATTTTTTCTTGGCTGCACTGTAAAACCAGATGGACACAAAGAGGGCTTTTGTTGATCCGAGCAACCCTGCATTAATTAGAATCCGATTTTCTTGTCATGGTTGATCAATTGAGGCTAAAAACAATCGTTACCATACTCCCTTCTTCTAATTGCATTTATGCTTCCCTCACTTGCATCTCTTCTTTGTGCCCTAGCCCCACCCACGTAAGATGCAAAGAGAAACTGTGAGGAGACAGGAAACGTGTTTTAACTGACATGACACATCTTTTCCTTCTGTCCTTAATGTGAAGCGTCCAGTCACGAGCTGATTTCCAATAAAGGGCGTGTAAATCTGTAACAGACTTGGTGTCACCTTTGCTGCTGCTGATGTTTTGTGGTACTTTTTTCCTCACAGAACTAAACAAGAACAGGAGGAAGCTATTTGAGCAACCCATCAGATCCTCCTTTCTGGAAGGGGGGGCGAGTGGACGCCTCTCACGCCAGTTTCACACAGACATGGCCAGCGTCAGCGGGCGATGGTAGGCATCTCCATCCCCAGGCCGTCCCAGAACCGCTCATGAAGACCAACCTCCAGTGTGTCTTTCTGTGCCTTAGAAGCCCAAGTTTAAGAGGTTGTTTACCCCTTTTTCAGCTTGAGCTGAAGTAAGACTATATGTTGTTGCCATATAGTATATACACGTATATATAAGCCATAGTTTCAAGTTCCAGTTAATAAAAAGGGATTTCTCAGACACATGAGGTTCAGTGTTCACTCCTTCAAGAGCCATTCGTTCTATATGGAGCATTTATATATGAAGGTTGTTGTTGTTCTGAAGAAGGGTATTGTCCAGTGTTCACTCTTTGTTTAAAGGAACAGGCAGAGTGATTAGTACAGTCATTTTATACATTGATACTACCTGCATTTGCATTATGCTGTTGTATCAGAAACATGCACTTTAATTATAGAGTTTTGCCTGTGAGAGTGATTTCTTAGATTGAAGTAATAACTATGCATTTTTGACTAAAAGCACAGATGCATTATATATCAAACCAAATGTAAGCACTTGGCCAGTGAGATTAGGGCACCAGCAGATGAAGTACGTACAGGTCGGCACGCCAAAGTGACGGCTTCATTAACTTTAACACACACACCAAAGAAAAGTATCATTGTGGCCTTTGAACGTTATCTGCCTTCAGTGTTTTTCCTCTGAGGTCAGTGATTGTGTCCATATCTTTTTCTTCTTGTGTATTTCTACACAAAACCAAAAAAAAACGAATCATATTTTGTACTCATTATGCATTATGACTTTATTTTTAGTTTTTATTACCATTTTAGGGGAATGGGTGGGATGTTTAATAGCTATCAGTTTATATTTGTATTTTTTATACAGTCATCAATGAGTTTCTATGATTTTGTAATTAGATTATTACCATCTTTTACTTATTTTCTGCCCCTTAATCTGTGGAGCCGTAATATGGCTGTGCCATTAGACAGCAGCAGACGTCTTCCAATGTCCAGAGTATTTTGCATTAAGTGTGGTTAAGTGCCTCTGTAATTTTTTTTTTTTGTTTGTTTCTCTGGGAAAATGTGTATTTTGCGATACAGTAAGTATAAAAGCTAAGACTGGAGAATAAAAGAGTACAGTGTAGAAGATGTATCCGGTATGTAGAGGACACTTGTGAGAAGTTCTTAATGTGCACAAATGTTTATCTCAGTGTATCTAAATATAACAAAATAACAGCAGTCCTCATAGAATTTCAGAAGGAAGTTGGTCATTTGTCCATTTCCTTTTGATTTGCAATGGTTCCCTTTAAGGTAATTTGCTGTTTATCATGTTCACTTTTAACCACTTTCCACTTCTTGCATCTCATTCAAGCCATTGTCCAAGTGGTTGTCAAGTTAATGGCACTATATTAAATAATGTTCTGACATGGTTGCTGACGCCAACCAGAGAGATGTCTTTTTATTTCCTTTCAAGTCCTAAGGGACCTGCCCCTTCGCTCACCCTGTTTCTTGTCTGCTTTAACTGTTGACTGTTCAGTACAGATAAAAAAGCCAAAAAATAAATTAAAACATTAATAAAAAGGGATTCTTTATCCTGAGAGGAAACCTGGAGCCAGTTCGCCCCAGCTCATCATGGTACTACATTGAAACTGTTGAGCGCTGATAGTCTCAGCGCCGCGACTCGTGTTCCTGCCTAGCAGACATTTGTTTTCATCCTTTGCCTTGTTCGGATGCATTTGCTCGGGGGACAGTAGAGGTTCTTGTCTTATCAAGTGAATGTTTAAAAAATATTGATGCATGTTAATGCAGATCTATTACAGATAAGTGAAGACAGTAAGTCAAAGTTTACTGCCAGCTTGTTTAGTCTTTGTCCTTGACAGAATAGTTTCACAATCAAGTGATTTTTTTTTTTTTTTTTCCGGGGGGGATAGTCATGTTGTTCCCAAAGGGATTTATTTGAAGGAGTCTTTGTACTGCACTCAAATGGTACATTTATAATAAATGTAAACCACTAGGGAAATTATGTAATATGTAACTGTTATATGACCTTTTCATCTGATGCAACCATTAGTTCTTGTGTGAGAAAGGTACAATTCTGCGCAGAGTTCCGGGGGAGAAGTTGTATATAAACATTGCCGTTTGGCCAAAGCTCTGTTCACTGTGGCATCTGTTGATGCTGTTGGTATCATAAGGGTATTGTAGTGCAGAGGGTTTTATGGAGACTTGTCAAGCAGGCAGAAAATGTTCAGACCTTCAAATTATAATATGAAGGTAATAAATGTATATAAACCTTTTTTTGTTGTTTGTTTTTGTTTTCTGCATATCACATAGATGCTAAAGCTATTTAGCATTTTTGTACCTTCCCCATAGTCTTGCATTAGAAGGAAGATATCGTCTTCAAAGTATCAGGAAATCCAGGATTCCAGTATCTGTAAGGTGCTGTAATGCTGCTAATTCTTTATTCACTTTATCTTGGATTCTCTGCTTGAAAACCTTTCATCTAATCATGATCAGAAACGCATGACAATGCAGGGGGAGAAACTATGCCGTTCCATGCCACGTGGTTACAGTGCCATGCATGCCTTCATGAGGCCTAATCCACACAGCCAGGATCTGCTTAATCCAACAAAATGAACCTGTTGCAACTGATGGAAACTGGCAGCAATAATGCATGAGAGCAAATTCATTTTAAACTCACTCTCCTGTCTCTGGGTTTCCAGTTACTATCAAATAAGTAGAAATTGTTATGAATATTTTTGCAGATTTGTGTCTATTTTCTTTCCTTGTTTTCATATTATCTGGGCCTTATAATCCAGTTTGCCCATAATGTATTGTCATGTGAAGAGTTCAGATTTTAACTCTGTTTGGGCAAAGTCGGTCACAAACTGCACATTTTCTAGGCTGTGGCATATTCATGTTAAGCCAAGACAGTGTGACCAATATAATATGAGCAGCTCAGCAAAAATATAGAATGACCCCACTGACTGTGGAGAACAGAACTTGTTTTTCTGCTCAATACTGTTGCAAAAACTGGCAGTTTTATTGTAAACCTCAAGGTGGCGGTGTTGTCACAAACCTTGGACAGTGGTTATTCTGCATGGATAATTACACATTTACAAACTAATACAATTACAGCATAACTGGTTTGTTTGTAGCAATTTACATACATGCTTCAAAAAGAAAATGCTATTAGTTTTGATTATCAGAATTCAATTGTTCAAGTGTAGATACTAGAGGAAATGAGGTGTGCGTATGTGTGTGTCTGTGAAGTCCATGCATGTTCACAAAATTAAACTGTTTATCAACTTGTATTTTTCCACAGATAAGGGTGGCGGTTTTCTTTTTTTTTTTCATTTGTGATTGCATTATCTGCCCCAAACCACCTCCACAGGCTTCTGTTCATGGCAGCAAATTAATGTTGATGTGGCAGAGAGCAAGAGAGAGAGAGCCTCGCATCCAACGTGAGCCTTTAACCGAAACAGGTGGTGCTGCTGAACTATGTTCTGTGGCAGCTTGTGACTCACTCACTTTCTCATCCTGTCATGTTTTTTTCTCTACAGGAACCTCATGAGGTAAAGAACACAGAACGCCTTCATGTTTATATAACACCGTAACACTGAATGGGATGTAAATACTGATATGTTATCCCGAGGAGCCCGGGGGTTATGTGTAGGAAGGATGTTAGGAAAACATTTGTCATGTGTCTGCTGCCAGTTACTCATGATGCATAGACCAAAGCTACAGTATCATAAAATTTCAGTTTTAACTTACTGAGAAAATAGTTTCATCTTAAAGTAGCTCTAGCCTCCACAGGAACAAGAACACAATTTGTGTAAACCACGAGTATCCAAATCTCTTTTAATCTCACTTAGGGCAGTACAGCACAGCTGGCAATCATCCCCAGTGGCCAGCATGACTAATTTTAATTTCATGTTCTATTGTGAGACACTGACAGTGAAAGGTGGCTAAATTGCAGAGAAAAGCAGTGATGGGCTTTTTATCGCCAGCCAACCAACCATGCATTTATTCAGCACACTGGCAGCCTCCTCACTTGAAGACCAGAAGTGTCCACAGCATCACATATTGTTCTCATGGGCAGCTTGCCTCTGCGGGAAAGGTGTAAATGAGAGAGGCTGTGACTTGGTTGCTATCTCACAATATCTGGCCCTTCTCCAGCAAGCAATATGCTGTCTGTTAAGTCTGGCTCAGTGGTGTCAGTCAGCCTGTGTTTTACCTCTTTTAGGCAAAATCACACATCTTACCAAGACTGAAAATGTTTGCGCTTAATTCATCCAGTAACATGATTTTTAGCATGAGATTGTGTGATGATGGTAAAAATTGTTTCTTCTTGCTGTAGTTCTCTGAGTAGATTAACTGTGGAAATGCATACAGAGGCGTTATGATTTTTATTTTTTCTCATCTCAGTTTTCTTATCCTCAAATACGGATGTAAAGACCACCTTCTTTTTCAAGATAAGCCAGGCCATTTTAAATGGCAGCTATACTGGTTTCAGCCTCACAGGCATGTTTGATAAGAAACATTGTCCCAGCAACAAATGAAGCTTAGTTCAGTCAGAAAGGCCTCTTATTTATAACCTTGGTGTCACTTGTTTGTGCTTTCTCTCTCCTTTTTTCCCCCCACTCAGCTTGCTGAGCAAATTTAGGCAATTCATGTCAGCATCTGAAAACAGGATGATTGGCATCTTGTTGCTTTCAGTGTGTAAAACTGAACCTCTTTGAGCTGCTGTCATTTCAGTGTCTGGCTGATGGCGACCAGCCTCCACCAACTGTTTTCATCTGCTCCAGACCCAGAGGGTGTTGTAGTCCATATCCAGGTATCCCTCTGATCTCATCCCTCAGCTTTTGTCTACACTATCCTGTTCTTGACAGTTTCATCGTCAGATATAACTAGCAAAAACTCAAAAAAAAAAATTTTTTAGGAAGTACACGTATTTGTGTTGTTGCCAAGCAATGACTCTCAATACTACTCTTGTATCTGTACACTAAATGTGGATCTAGAGCCAGCAGCCATTTGGCTGAGCTTAGCATAAAGACTGAAAACAGTGGAACATAGCCAGGTTTGCTCTGTCCACAGATAACAAAACCCACCTACCAGTATCTTTAAATCTCACTAATAGACATATTATATCTTGATCGTCTAATGGGTACAAAAACAATGTCAAAACAAAAGGTAGTGGCTTTATGATGTGTTATGCTTCCACTATTTCCTGGTGGGTAACCAGTAGTGACAGCAGATCTTGTTACAAATCAAGAAATAGTCAGACCCATAACCACGACATTCTAAAATGACAAATTGTTGTTTATACCAGTTGAACAAGCTTTAGAGGTGCTGTGGGTGGACTTTACCTACAGCTAAACCCAGACTAGCTGTTTCCTGTTTTCCAGTTGTTAAGCTGAGCTAAGTTAGCAGGATGACAAATTGAACAAGCATATTTCACAAAACCTCAAACTATATTTTTAAACCTTTCCTATATTATGCACCCTCTGTCAGGAGCACATACCTTTAATCCTTCAGCTCTGCTTCCTCATTCAAATGTGCGGGTTTGTAGTGCATGTTGACTAACAATGGCTTTCTTTATTCATTAGATTTGACTGTTATGGGATGGAAGGTGATGTTTCATTCTTGAAACGATCAGATATTCACTTGGAGACCCAGAGACACATGAATGGCCATTATCAACCAAACAGCAGGTAAGTAAAGGCCAGAGCTCAGCACTGCAAATCAATAACACGCCTTCCCTCACACAGATATTTGTTGTACACAGTCACACACACGTACGCACGTTGAGCTCTGGATACTTGTTTTCTGCTGATATAAAATATTGCAGCTTGTGCTCTGTATACTGCACTTGTAACCTTCTACATGCAGCATAATTTTCAAACCTATATGGGAGGCTTGATCCTCTCCCTGCTATTTCTCCATCTGCCCTGTGTGTTCACGTGGCCGCTGAGCTCTAAGCACAGCAGAGTGAGCAAATCAGAGTGGACTGCCAATACAGGGCACACTGTGACACACACTGACGCTGCAGAGTAATAAACACTAGATATTTAGAGGAACAACAAAGAGAATGGGAAACGACAGAAGGAAAGATGATGCAGTAGAATCAAAAGTTATGAAGAGGCATAAAGGTAATCGAGGTGAGGCGGAAAAGAGGATGGATGTGAATGAAGGATGAGAAGGGGGAGGGCTAAACTTGGCTGGCTGTGTGTTACATGGGAGCCAGTGTCACTTTGTGTTGTCCTCCTGCTTTAGACACTGATGCTAACACAGGATGACTCTCCCTGGAAGGGATACGGGTGAGAGGAGGGAGGGATGCCAAGGAGGATGGATGGAGGTAGGGTGAGAAGGAACCTTCTAGAATTGGTCAGACTCAACCTCTTCCATATCAAATACACAGAGCAGAGGAAGGGGGAGGGCAACAAAGAGAAATAGATTATGGCACATATGACAAGGAGCTTTTGGAAATTTGGTCATCTTGGGGCCATTAGCTGTAGTTCCTTTGGTTTATGTTTCCGATCACTGGTCATAGATTTCCGATGTGTTTACTCACTGGTTTATGGAATTATAGTGGAAACAGTCATTTAAACAGGTGATGTGTCGTTCTGTGGAAATGTGCAAAGCTTTTTAGTAATCAAATCATCTTGGGGACAGTTAGTAAATCATGCTCATATAGTAAACATGCAGTATAAAAGCATTAATGCCTCATAACATTCCTACACAGAGGCATAACAAAAAAAAAAAACAACTTTGGTTTTCATATTCTCCTCAGATACAGATGGTAGCAAGTGATCAGGATGCTGACCTTCACTTTTAATGAGTTGTATTTCACAGGCCGGAAATTTGAGCCAGCTGCAGCACTGGCCTCATGAAATCTGAGCGTGCAATATATTCAGGCCTCTATTGGTGCATCTAATACAGTATGTTTTCTACCGAATCTGAATGCCACAGTGATTATGAGCTTACCAGTTTAATTCGCCTGTCTGCCTGCAAAGCTCCGTTTTCTAATCCTTCAAAGTGCATGAAAATGCTCACCAACTAGCTTTACTGTATCTGCATGGAAAATGATAAATCTGAGTGTAAAGTGGTGACGTTACTCTTTGTTCTGCTGCAGTACTTCCTCCTCTTCTGTTACAACCTCAGAGGTGATGATGATGCTGTGTCAGTAGGTCTCGCACGGAGATGAGTTATGGTGGTTCCCCTCCTATAAGTCGTAGTGTCGCCTTAGTAGGCCAGTTACCCCTCTGTCCTTTCCAACAACATGACTCAGGGGTCCTCTAGGCGCAGCTGCAGAATGTGTTGTTTGCTGAACAGATGACTATGCCATCACCTCTCCTCCTCCTGGTGCTTTGTATAACACAGAGGAAGACAAAAACTAATGACACCTGACTCTGATGGTTCCCTGTGCATTATGAGGAGACCAGCCTGCTTTAGGATATAAGTCTATAAGAATGAAAATGACTTTGTGATTATCAGGGTTTACTTCTGTATGGCCTAATCATGTCAGAAGCGCCTAGAGCCTTCACTGTGTTTTATCCAGTTTACCCCATGCATTTGACCTTTTGTGCCTTTGCAATTCTGTTTCTGTGAGCCACTGATAAGCAGGGTGTAATAGTCTAAGCGAGATAATTACAACGCACAACCACAGCCCAGTAAAAAGTATGGTTTTGTGGTCATGGGCTGAGAGGATTTTGCATTTTATTGTGTGCCATTACCACGCAAGAGGGATCGCCTAAAAAACGGAAAAGCAGAGGTGCAAGGGCTGTTCATTCATTATGTGTGCAATATGTCAGAGTCGTCTCCAAGCTCATTAGTGTGCTGTCCACTTGCACCTGCGCTCCCGCAAAAGCGGGCTGCACCTCACCAAATAAGGACACGTGAAAGACTGTTGTTGGGGTGACGTTGAACGTGAACTAGAAGAACGGGAGTGTGGGTGGACGGTCTAGATGGAGACTTAAACTGCAGGGGGGACACCGGGCTAATCTGGTTACATAACAAACCATTGAAATTGCGGAATGTCTCTGCACTAATCCGCTGAACTATTCATGTGCATCTGTCCCGAGGCGATACAACACACAAGGGCACACGCGCGCACACTTGTAGCTCTGAAGGCACAGAAGCGCTGCATGAACGAGGAGGTCATGAGATAAGATACACGCACAGAGTGATATCTTTGACTTTATAGGCTACACTTAGACGTCTCCCTGCAGAAGCTGCAACCCCACCTGGCGGCTTGTGCTGTTCGCACCCGTGACGATTCCGCTGACGCGCCACTAGCCGCAGCACCCAGGAGACAAGACAGGAGCGCTGTGAGCGACTGAACGATCAAGGCACTGACTTCAAGACGGTCTCTCTTTCTTTGCTCCTTCCTTGACGACCGTGCACCGACGCCTGCTGTTGTGTAGTTCTCGCGGACGATAATTAACCAGAGACAGCAATTCACCAGTAGCATCATCCAAGCTCTTCGGCAGAGATGGAGGTACCAAGCTTGGCGCACAGCATCAGCCCATTAAGTCCATGCGAGGGCATGATCAAGGACCTGAGCTTGGACGCCATACAGTTGTGCGAACGAGATGGTAAGGGAAGATTTGTCTGCTTTTCAGTAGCGTCTTTGCATTAGATGTTTGCGCGTAATATCGGCGCATTAGGCCCTTTTGTTAATACCCAGAACCCCTGCAACGCATACGGTCTGTCACGGGTTTTAAATGCATGCTGTTCCTCTTTGTGTGTTTAAAGGGATGGTGCGCTTTTATGTGTGTGGAATGGTTGTGTCTTTACAGTGGCAACGAGGTTTCCTTCAATCATAAGAGAAGGGTCTCCGCTAAAGTAAAATGTATATTCCTACAAACTGAACACGAGCGAGTTAAAGATGTTGGTGTATTTCAGCACCACAGCCATGGACAGAGGCTGGCAGCCACCGCGGCTGCTTATTTCAGGAAGCATCTCCTCCTTTTCTCACAAAACTCTCCCCCTGCGTTTAAAATTACAATTGACTAAGTCATCCAGCTGCATCCATGGTCTTTGGATAAACTTCTGTGAATTCAAAAGTTTTCTGGATATTTACCATGAAATAAAGAGTTGACATAAATGTGATCACAGATGGGAAGGCATCTACAGTATAAGTCAGTTTTATCATATCGACATGGATGAGCACATTTTCGTGATCAGACTTAACCTAGTGCGGATTTGAAGAAGGAAAAAAAGCAAGTCATCATCAGGAGAGAATGAGAGGCTCAAACATGGCTGCACCCACATGTTTGTGCGCACAGGCGGTACATCCTTACACGCCCATCACTTACACATCAGTGATCTCACATTGGAGTCAAGACTCCTGGTCACAGAGATCCCCTTTTAATTGAGACTGTAGATTCATTCATATCTATGGCAATGAAATGAAATCAGCTGAATAAATTTAATGGAACTTTTTACCGTATTTTCTTGATTTGTATTGGACTGACCACTTGGGGCTCCCGCAAAGTCAATGGTGTCTTCACTGAGCCTCCAAAGAACCTCCAGTATCTGATCATGGTGTAGTCATTGGACCACACAGCCTCATTTTATCATCTGCCAGAGCTGCTGCTCATATTTTAACTCAACTGGATGCTGTTTATATCCTCTTAGTGCTTTGCTGGCCTGATTCTAAAGCTATAATTTTAATAATGGTGCATAGGCTGAGACTACGTTCCTAATGGACCCTGTGCCAGTCTTGTGCTTCCTGTTTCAGATTTGCCAGGGAGTTTTTTTTTTTTTTTGATAAGCCTGGTGTTTGCAGCACAGCAGCCACTTTCTTATTTGTCAAGTAGATTACCCACTGTAAATAGTGCCTCTGTGTCCTTGAGACACCCACATACTCCGTTTATGGAGAGAAACAGTCACAAGGTCTACATTCTGTGCAGAACAATTAATGGTTGTGGTTTGGCCAAGCAGTTGATAGAATTACTAGTTGAGGAAATTTGTGTAGTGTAGATGGTTTACTTGAAATGTTGTCATTTGTGCCGTTTAAGATTCACCACTAAACAATGCATACCAGTGCCATTATAATATATTGCCTATTATGTAAGCAAAAAAAAAAAAAATCACTTATTACTGTGCACAACATACTAGAATGTCATGATGAGGGATGAGAAACGTCTCGTCTGTACACAGAGCTGCATATGCAGCTGATTCGCTCTATTCAGTTTGATCACCAAGATTTGGTTTTGACACATTCGCCTACCTGAACACTATAAAATACAGTTCATTAGAGGACTGTTTCAGTAAATAGTAAGTAAAGCTTGTGATGTTAATATCTTTTGAGAATGGTTTGTTCAGTTGGATTACATTAATGCTCCTGTTCTTTTGACAAACCTTTGAATTTTGATGTAACTACTCATTTGAAATGACCTCCAGAAATACTGTATAAATTATACTGTCCATGCCACACCCATGTAGTAGACTGCATAGTCCACTCTTAGCTTTCCTGGAAATGGACTTTTAATATCTGGTCATTACTTGCATTTTTCCGAGGACAGTATTAATTTCATTTCCACAGAGCTTTCTAAATTTGTCTTGCAGACCGATTAATATTTAATTGCTAGCATGAGAAGCTTGTGCGGCTATGCTGACCTAGCAAACAGAAATGCATGCTGCTTCAGTGGGTCTACTGTCTGTGGGAAACAGCTCCCACACACACACACAGAGGATTGTTTGAGGATTTCAGTGCACAAAATAAATAGTGGGATACAAGTTGTTGTGTGTATGGATCAGTTTAGTGATGCAACATGAGTAAGTAGGGGGTGGGGAATGTGGTGGGAAAATTACAGATTTTGCTCTTATGAATAAGCGGTTGCTGCTGCTGTGCGGCATTCTGGGGACACAGAGAACTGCTTCCATGATGTTGTTCTGGGTTCAAATTTTTGTCACCATCCCCTGCAAAGGTGACTCAGACCACCATTTTGATTTTATATCCACAGTTAATGCCTACTTGCAGGGGGTAATGAAATACACATTACATGTCTTGCAAGGCCTTTGTACTGTGACCGCTGACATAATTAAGTTGCCATGATGGATGGCTGCCATTTGTGCGGCCAAGTACTGTGTCTGCACTGTGTGAAGTCTGTGCCCGAAATACTGCTGCTCCAGCTGCAACACCCTCAGTCTGGCAGTGGGTGTGTGCATGTGTGGGTGCAAACTATTTGCTAAAGGTGCCTTAATATCACCAAATGTATCAAATTGAATAAAGGCTCCCCTCAGTTTTGAACCTAGCTGCCAAGTCAACAATGACAGTTTCCTCAGATGTGACCCCGATGCTTACTTTTCAGTGCCCTCAAACCCACAGAAACATAATGAAACTAAGTTTTGTAGGATTAAATTTGCAATGAGAGAAACACTAACAGTGTGACTCCATGGATGGCATTGTTATTCTGCCAGTCAGTCTGCCTGCTGGTTAGCATGCTGATGTTAGCATTTAGCTCAATACTACTGTGTCCAAGTATATTTTCACAGAGCTGCTAGCATGGCTGTAGACCATTAGTTCTGTACAGAATGGTAGCTACTGTGACAACTGTTACTCAGTGGACACGTGCGGAGCTTATCTAATATGTTCCAACATGGTACAACAGCAGGTCGGTCTTATGACATACAGCATTGTTTGAGTAAGCTGGCATTGTAGTTTGGCCAGTGTTCACTGTGAGCAGTTGTGTGCTATGACTGTGCTGGCAAGAGGTACAGGTACATATTATGCAGCCACTTACTGGTTGTATAATGCACTCACTTGCAATTGACTGTACACTGACCATTCTTTTGGGTTGATTGGAGTGCAGCCTGATGCTGAAAATCAGGACCTTAGTGTAGTTATAAAATCCTTCATGCAGGATATAAAGACTTGTACTTCGAAAATACAATTGAAGGATTTTATAGCAGTCTGTTGTCAGAATGAGTCTGATGACTCATTCTGACAAGTTTAGAAAAACATTTGTCCTTTTCTTTTTTCTATTTGACTAATTAGTAAGAATAGAGAGAGACAGTTCTGAAACTAAGAGCTTTGCTGATGAGAAAGACAAAGCTACTATTCTTTTGGCAGTTTCTCTAGCTCCCAGCATGGTTTTTGTTTTGGTATGGCCTGTGTGTCAATAAGAACAAAGGCATGACTTTACTAGGCATTCATGCCTGGTAAGCGTCTCTTGCACCACTCATGTCTGCAGTTCAATTTTAGACCTAGCACTGCAACTTTAAAACTAGGAGGCGTGTCTGCCTGAGCTGAGTGCCCACTTGTGCAGTCAGAGACAATCAGTGCTACAATCATCTGCCAGTTCTTTTTTTCACTTAACACACCCATCAACAATAATTTGCAAATTGATTTTCAACCTTGACTGAAAGCACCATAGTCTCACATGGTGGACACTTTCATCACCAGCTACTGGTGAGAGAGTACATTTACATTGTGTAGTTGGACTGAATAGAAATTAAATCACTTTCCTCTCACCAGTAAAGAGTTCTAACACGTAATTCACACAGTATCAAGCCAGGTGTGACTGGAACAAATTCTTCCACAGAGAGCCATTATGATGGCCCTGCGTATGCATGTTAACAAGATTTGTATTGATCCTTCTGCATCTCTTACTGTTCCACACTGGCATTTGAGTGCACAGTGAGTAAAAGGGCAATACACAATACGGCCCATTTAATAGGGGTTAACAAATTCAAGAGGGTGAGCTTTCCATTTTTACAAGTTTAATGCTTTTGCTGTGCTGCACATATTTCTGTGTCCTGTAATTTGGTGTGCTGCTCAGGCATGTATGTTGCTCATATGTATCAAGCTGAATGTGCTCATATACTGTAGCTTTCTTTTTGAGCCTGCTGTTCACACTTAAACCTTGTAAGCAAGGACTCAAAAACCAATTCTCTAAATAGTAAGAGCGAGAAGTACATACAGTTTAAAAGCTTCCATGGTTAAAAAAAAAAAAAAACTGACTCAACAAAATGAATGTTAGCTACATTAGCAACCCAGGAGCAAGTACAAAAGAGTGAGAGCACCGACTGGCATACAAATTTAAGTCAGACCAAGGGCTTAGTCATCGCTTGTGAGACTGTAAAAGGTTTTGCTCTCTCCCTTAATGCCTGACCTTCATACCGCTTGGCTTTTGCTATGCCATCTTTCATCTTGTGCTCTCAGGGTCCGAGAGGATTCAGAGCAGAGCTTAGCAGTGGATCTCACAAACCTGCTGTGTTTACACCTGCAGGCAAGGCTACCCGCTACACATTGGTTCAGTTTCAGTTCAGATATAGTACTGCCAAGTTGTTAAGTTTATTTATTTAGTTCTGATGCTGAATTTGTTAGCTGACCAATTTAATTCTATACCCTGTACATTGTGTTAATGACATCCATGTTTTTATAATGTTTGCCTTTTTGTGAAAGCATATAGAACAGTGGTGGTTGCCGATCTTTCTCATAAGTATTGCCTTTGATTTTTGCAGAGAGCCCCAGAGGTTGTTTTCCCTAATAACATCACTTTCAGCTTGACTGAGTAGCATTAACAGTGGTATGTAGGCAATATCTGACTCCAGTTGAAAAGCTGCACTACACTGCACTGGTATAATGCCTCCATTTGCAGGTTAATTAGGAGAGCATTAGAGTAAATGGGAGCTAAATCAGCAATGTGGAGTTGTAAGGAGCTGGGAGGGCAAGCACCTGCATGGGGTCTCCGTTCGGAGGCTTGAAGGGAAACATCAGTGTAGACATTAACATTTTAAGGAGCAGATGACAAGGAACCTGATTTGCTTCAGGTCTCAACTTAAGCATTTTGAAAACTTATTAAAGAAATCTTGGCAGTATTTCACTTTGAGTATATTTCATCTTTCCCTGATGGACACATCTTAGAATGACAATGGGCCTTTTTTCTTGTTTTGCTAAAGGTCAGCAACATAACATCTCAGTCACGACATTACAGTGTTGACATCACTGTCTGGTCCATACCGACTCGGTGGAGCATTTTGTGACCGACGTCTGCTCTGTCGTGTCCTATGATGACCCTCTCAGTCTGAGCCTAACCTATCACTTCACTAGGGTTTCAGTGTGGACCAGCAGCAGGATGAGATGTTTTCACAAATCAACACAGAGAAGTGTAGATGTGCCTGCATCAGGTCTGCAACTCAAGATGAGAATAGTACCCAGTACCCCAAAAATCTAGTTTAAGCGATGTACAGGGCAGTTAATAAATCCTGTCTTTGCATTCACCAACCTACTGTAATGTGAAGATTTATGTGAAGAGCTGTGTTCGTCACTGAAAAGTCATCTTTCCACACTAAATCCACAAGTGCACAAGATTATTTTGTTATTTATCATGAGCAGCAGTACGGTTCAAGCGTATAACAGTGGGAGGTCTTTCTCTTTAAGTTAAAGATGATTACTTTTGGTAATCAGCTAATGGTTAGGAACTCATGATTAGGACAGAGGCAAGTGGGCGTCTAGCCATTTATTTCAAATGAATGTTTTGTTATTTATTTTAAGAGAGTCACAAGCCATGATAAGGAAAATGCCAAACCAGGATAAAGATGAGATAAACATTTGTTGTAGAAATTACTTCCTGGTTTCCTAAAGTGAATCAATCTACACATGCTCCACTGTTGGCATTGTGTGGCAACGAGACAGGAGAGTCCACACAGCCCAGTTATGGGATTATTTTTTATCTTGCCCTCTCTCCGCTGATGAGCAGAGATGGATGTTACATGCTCTGCTGCTTCTGCCATTGTTTACTCTCTAAAGAGTTTTGATGCACTGTGCGTTAGAGTCTAATTCTGTAGTTTGTATTGTATCATAGTCCTGGGTTTTACTCACACTCGTGTTTTGACCCCAGAGCATGCACAGAAAACACATTGTTGTTGTGCCAAGTGGGCGTCTGAGTGTGATGCAAGCTCTATATTCAGCCTAATTCTACAAAGCTCTCATTCAGCTGTGCTTTGACATTTTCACTGGCCTCAATGTGCACTTTGGAGTTGTGCATCATTGCCACTTGTTATGTTACTTGCATGACAGAAAATGATGGTACAAAGATGAGGTCCAATAGGCTAGTTGAGGCAAAAAAGAAAGAAATGGAAATTATGAAATTTATCCAATTTAAATGAACGACAAAGTTTCTGTGATTTTCACCAGTATTTTAGATGTCATTGTGGAAGGCTTGTGTATTGCCTGCAGTGTGGTCGCTGATTATAAATGGATTCATCACCTATAAATAGAGCAGACATTCAATCAGCAGTGTTTGAAATATTTAATGGTGCATATGTTCTGGATAGCAGATTGAAGTAGGTGTGTATGTGTGTGTGCTGAAGGGCTGATGTGTTTCCATGGCAACATATAAGGTAGTCAGAGACGCAGGCGGTTCTTTGTGCATGCGCGATGTAGTGGATAAACTACTGTGGATGCTGTTTGTGGAATAATTGCTGAGAAACTGCAGTATAACGAAAGGTTTATTGGGCTGAATAAAGGTTTGAATAATATGTACCACTGGTTTAATATGGTCTCCACTTTTCTGAGATAATTAGCATGCGATTCACAGTCACTGACCAATGTGTCACAACACTTAAGTCATTACCAGCAAACATTCAAAACTGAAGTTGTATCAGATCTAGATAAGCCTCACTAGTCAGAATACTGATGTGTGTTCCCAGATCTGGGCATATATTGTTGTTCTATTTGACAGTGATATAAGCCATCAGCAGTTCTCATTGTTTTTTTTTCAACTACACAGGAAGTAAATCCCAGGACGGCAGCATCTCTGAGATGGAGGAGCTCCCTGTTCCTCAGCACATCAAGATCAGCAACATCACCTGCGACTCCTTCAAGATTTGCTGGGACATGGAGCCGTGCAGCAAGGAGCGCATCACACACTACTTCATTGACCTGAACAAGAAGGAGAACAAAAACTCAAACAAGTTCAAACACAAGGTAATGCTTGAATCAGCACAGATGAACACAAAAACACAAACAAAGCCTCTCATTGTATTCTCACTGAATGGAATTGACTGCGTTTCATAAATAAGAAATGGCAGGTTTTGTGTTTTTCATTGTGTGAAAATGACAATGAGCTTTTAGAGTATAAAGTAGGCAACAGGCCATTGTGAATCAGACAAATGTTTAAGGACCCTACTCTCAATAAGCATTATTCATAATTTTATATAACCAGGTAAGTCTCCTTGAGATTAAGGTACCTGGCCAAGATGGCAGCAAAAACAACAATAAATACATAGACAAATGTCATGCCACAAAACTGTAGCACTTCTATAGAGTATAGACAATATCCGGTTATGATGTATAAATGTGACTTTCCAAAACTGTCAAAATAAAGTCAAATCGATTTAGAAGCCTGTTGACTAGACATTCCCAAAAGTACCTGCTTCTGACAATTTGGTGTCTTTCTGTACAGTGTGATTTATGACAAACCTAAGAAAAATTTTTGTCAATGTATAAAATGTTTTTAAAGAGATACTCTACAGTGTAATCAATATAAATATATTTTCATTCATACTTTCAGCATTCAGTTCTTGGTCTACAGTCTCCATTTGTGCTGTTCCTGCCTGTCCAGTAGCAGTGTCTGTTGCTGTGTCTACGGAGTGGACTGGCAGTGAATGTGATTTTTATTTGAAATTTTTTCCCTTCATTGCCTTAGTCGTTCTGCAATATCATATTAGTGATAAAGATTGCAGTACTATAATACACACGTGGAGGTATTATAATATTTGATGTTTGAGACCTAAAGTTACTGATTTGATGCTGAAACAGGTACACTGTGTTTTACATCAAGATGACCTTTCTGCTCGTGCTTGAGGCAAAATGACTCATTTTAAGGTGGTTTTGTTCGAAGGCACTACAGCGAGCTGTTGCTCTGATCTCTAATAGGTTTGAGAGAGTAACTGCAGCAGCCGCAGTGGAGAAGCTACGGCTCTTTCGGTGGATTTTCTGTAATCTGTTCTGTAAATCTTACAGGCGTGTTTCATCAGCGTCCTTTCCTTTCTTCCTAGGGTCACTTCCTGGGTGCCATGTAGCTAAGTGTTCCTCCTCTTTCTACACTGTTGTACTGCCGGACCTGTATTTTGATTTTGGTGTGCAGTAACAGTGTTAGTGGATTAATGGGCTGACTCTGTTGCTAGGCAGGGGTGTCTGGGCCAATCAATGAGCTGCTAAGGCCCACAGAGATTTAGGGGGGTGAATAGTGTACAATATGCATAAAGGAAAGTGAAGCCACAGGTATAAAGTGTGTTTACTAGTAAGTGTTTGGAAATCCCTGCATGTGGCAGAAAGAAAACCATAAATGAGTCTGACTCACTCCTTCCTGTCCCCATTTTTCCCCTTTCTTCCCTCTTGTCCTCCTGACCACCTCCCTTCCTCCAGGATGTCCCTACCAAGCTGGTGGCCAAAGCAGTTCCCCTACCCATGACGGTTCGAGGCCACTGGTTCCTGAGTCCACGCACAGAGTACACTGTGGCTGTCCAGACTGCATCAAAACAGACTGATGGGGACTACTCCGTCTCTGAGTGGAGTGAAATCATTGAGTTCTGCACTGCTGGTAAATAATACAGCTTCCAGTAACACAAGGACATACAGTTTCATGATTTATGACATCAGTGACAGTTTTGATTTTAGCAGTCACCAACTGAACTATAGGGGATAATAGTGGGGAGGGTGTTAAGAAAGAGGCATAAAATGGCTTGAAGGGTGAAGCACAATACAGTATGAGAGTGAATATCAAAGTAGGCTAGTTTATAGTGAAAGACACTTTAAATAAAAAGTCAAAGTGTCACTTTGGTGGTGGCTCTAGGAAAATGGCAGGTGACCACCAAATGAGGATTCACAATGTGGGGACCAGGGATGTCTGTATAAAACTTTATAGCAATCTGTCCAGTAGTTATTGAGCGATAGCTGTCTGAACCACAGTGATGTTGCCATCCCTAGAGCCACGACACTAACATGGCTAAAACTGCTGAATAAAATCAGAGAGGGTGGGGCAGTTGTGAAATGGATGAAAAGAAGCAGTTCAGAAGAGAACAGGGAGAAAGAGAGAGAGAGAGAGAGAGAGAGAGAGCTGAACCCAGAACAGTGTCGTTTTTCAGTTGGTGTTGAGAAAAACTGGCCCCTCTCAGACACACACTGAACAGTGTCACAACACCACCAATCAGAGTAAACCAAATCATAAAGCTATGTAAAGAAACCTACTTGGGATACTAAAAGCCAAAGTAGATTACAATCTTATCTGGCCCTAAAAAGAGATTATGAATCTACAAAATATATTTTAACTGTCGGATAAAAAAGCTGAGTGACCATAAGACACAAAATCATGTCAGCCAAAAAAGAGCAGGACGTGTGGTCACTATTCAATGAAACAAGTACCTTTTATTTTGAAAATTTCAATTCTGTAATTTCTTTAACAGACAAAGATTCGAAAGCTGTTTCATACTACTGTAATTTACCAAAACAAACAGTGTATCTTCTTTCATTTTTGGTCAAAGGTACATTAGAGAGCAGGGAATTAAACTGTTTTACCTAAAGCCTCCTTATTGGTGTGTTCAAGACCCTGTGGCAAAATTAGTATAGGGAAGCCTCCTGCATCATTTTTTATATGGTTTGGATAAACTCCACACCAGTTTGGCAGAGCTGCTTTCATGGTGGTGAGAGAAAGCGGATTATATTACAGGGCTGACTGAAAATGATTTTGGCCAGAATGCTGAGTCATGTCAGCTATGAATTTGGAGAAGGTGCTGCAGGGAAGAAAGACTTGAAATCCTTGAGTACATGTACAAACTTTCACAATGATTAGTGTTGTCTGTTTACAGACTATTCCATGGTGCATCTAAACCAGCTGTTGGAAAAGGCAGAGGCCATCGCCGGCCGGATGCTGCGTTTCTCTGTCTTCTACAGGAACCAGAACAAGGAGTACTTTGACCATGCCAGGTAGGCAGCCAGTCCAGCTTCATTTTAATCTTCTTTGTTGTGGCTTTTGACGGTTCTTAGTATTTTGAATGAATAAAACCACTCGCTTACATCAGGGTGAGTATAAAAATAGCTGTGTTTTTCCTTTTATTTGGCTGCCCTTCAACATGCTTTACTCCACTGTTTCTCTCCAATTACGTGTATCCCATGCTTATTAAAAGGTCAGTGCCTGGACCATGGGTTTGCTAATGTAGAATTTTGATCTCATTGCTTCATTTGGGGTTTGAGATCCATTGGCAACCTACTCTAAATATAGGTGTGTTTTTGGAACAGTCATTTTTTTCTGTTCATATTGCATGTGCTTAGAGTACACATCCAATTTCTTACTTTCTGGGATTGACATTTCAATTAAATTGTCAATGAACAAGGAAGATCCAGTTAATTTAAAATTACCTGACTGAGACTGTATTCCTCATAGAATAACCGGGATGAGTTAACCATGTCCTCCTCGGTGGCTACAGCTCCCCTGAACACACATTTGTAACAACAAGAAGCTCAGTGTCACCCCTTTCTAGTCTGTAGTATTATGTTCAATGTAGTTTCTTTACACAACACCTAGCATTTATGCCTATTTGTACATTATCATAGTTGTATGACTATTGTACTGTTTGTGTTAAACTTTTTAAATAAGTAGTTTCTCATGAACTATTTATATGCTAATCATTATCATTTAGCCAAGGCAGTGCTGCATATAGTTTTAATATACTGCTGTGATACTGATAATGAGAATATTGCAGTGAAATGCATCTATCATTTGACTCAGTTCTACATTACAATGCATCCCTGCAGACAGCATGATGATAGCATAATTTTGGGTTAATGTATTCCCATCCACAGAAAGCTGCTTGAAGCCAGGCAAAAATGGATATATTCAGCTGAAGGGTGCAGCTGCACAAAGCATGTTATTTCCACAAATCAACACAAATACTTCAAACTACTGTAGCACCTAATAGTAGTCTGAAGAGTCATAGATTGCTTCTTACAGTAACCATCTCTGCACACATACTGTACATATGAATACAACAGAAAATACTTCCTTTTATTAATTTTTAATAGCCTTATGATTTCATTTGACAGGGCTTATGTGTGGTGTAACCCTGCCACACAACAGCAGACTAGGGAGGACTACCTCTGGAGTAGCCAATTTTAGCTGTTTATTAAAGCACTGTGCAGTTACAGTGTACACTGGTTTTTGTCTGGGTGGACGCAAATGCCTTTTCTTCAACTTCCTGTCTATGCCTTCTTCTATGGTTTCCCTTATTTTTCTTCCTTTCTCTCTCATGGAGGAAATGCTCCCCACCTAGCAAAGCACTGTTCCTGTAGTACAACCACAGCTTGTGAGCACTCTTTTGTTGGAGCTTTGCAGCATGATGTCATCTGGATAGTCTTCTCCCTTTTGCTGAGTTGCAGCTGCTCCAGTGCTATGTGCTTCTGTTCAACTGCACCATCTTGTGGGGAGTAACAGTACTGATATTACTCTAAATGAGGCTTCTGCTTCCATGAATGGGTGTGGGAGCTGAATAATTTCACAATGCCCACAACAAAGCATTGATTATGGGCATAATGACAGTCTTAAAGTGTTAGCAGTATAATTACAATTGATAATTGGAGCCAAGATTTACTCTGTGGGGGACGATATGCAGCTGCAACAGAAGCATTCATTGGACTGAACGTGCTTTTGCTGTCTGAAAGCTGCTTTTGGTTTCTAGAAGTTTGTCAAAACCATAAAAAATATTTCGTTTTCAGTGGAGCAGTTGTCTTTCACAAGGTCTCTGTGAGATAAACTGGACTTGGCTAATATGATTACAATGCTAGAAATAGTGGAAGTACTACAGATCAGTTTTGCACTCTGAGTTCACTGCGTTTTGAGACACATTCCAGTAGCTCTTTCTGTTTTGTTTGTTCGCTCATTGCCCATATTATTCACTTTTTCCCCCAAATCCAGGGAGGTGCAGGGAAACCAGATGCTGCTAGCCACGGCTCACCCATCAGTGGAAAGCTGGAGGGCATTTTTTTCTGCTGCAACACCGAGTTCAACACAGGCAAGCCTCCACAGGACTCCCCTTATGGCCGCCACCGCTTTGAAGTTCGGGCAGATGCACTCTTCAACCCCAACACCAACTTGTATTTTGGAGATTTCTACTGCATGTATACAGCCTACCACTATGTTATTCTGGTCCTGGCACCAAAGGGCTCCAGGGGTGATGATTTCTGTAAGCAGAGGCTTCCGGCACTTGACATCGGCAACAACCGTTTCCTCACCTGCAAGCAGGATGAAGAGGGTGATGGCGGCCTGGTGTTTCATCATGCCCAGGATGTCATCCTAGAGGTGATCTACACAGAGCCTGTAGACCTGGCATTGGGCACGGTGGCTGAGATCAGTGGGCACCAGCTGATGAGTTTGTCCACAGTAAATGCCAAGAAGGACCCCAGCTGCAAGACCTGCAATATCAGTGTGGGACGCTAAGAAAAGGCAGAATGTAGAAGAGGAAGGGAAGGACTAGAGGTGACTGTACACAGGAAATCCACATGTACTGATAAAGCAGACCAACACATGCATGAAGCAGCAAATTTAGTAGGCTCCCAGACATGCACCAACGTATCTGACACCGCTCTGTACTCTCAGAAGACCATCATTCCCAAAGAAGAGTCGAGGAAAAAGAGGAAGGTATGCACACTCTGACACCTGCACCATTGTTTTGTCATCCTTAAAGGGTAACCCTAATTAATCAAAGTATACTTTAAAACGTACTTGACGATATGTTAGGGACCACCAACAGAGAAATCAGGACCTGGGACGTCAACAAACCCTTTAAACCGTACCAACAAACATGGGCTGCTTTTCTTCAATTTCCTGTTATTTTATACAGTTGTCCCATATTTTGTTAATGACCTTTGCCTTGTTATTATTGATATGCTGTTGATAGAACAATCCACAATCTGTGTGGACTCGTATTTTGTTGTTTCTAGAAGTGTTTTGTTCTCATTCCACAGTAGACAAAATCTTTTATTTCTTAAATCCTCCTACTAGTGGTACAGACTGGTACTAGGGCTGCAGAGGATCCAGCAGGGGTAAACAATCCTGGTCCTCAAGTGCAGCTGCCCTGCTTGTTTTCCAACTATCCCTGACCTACCCACTGCTGATTACCTGGATCAAGTGTGTTAAGTCTGATACCAATTCACTACTTTCATCTAAAATGGTGTCTTCCAGCTTTTGGTTGACTGAACACCCTTGATCCAGGTAATCAGCAGAAGGTAGGTCAGGGATAGTTGGAAAACAAGCAGGGCAGCCGCACTTGAGGACCAGGATTGTCTACCCCTGATCTAAAGTCATCTTTCTTTAAACCAAAGGTATTTGAAACTGCTGTGGAATCTTAACAGTATTAATGCAACAGCCTCTAACATGTGTGCTCACTAAGTCTTGGATGGCAAAGTGTGACCTCTTGTTAACTTAAAAAAAAAAAAAAAAGCATGATGCAGTTCTGTGCAGCATGAATATGAAAGCTGTCGGTACCACTACCATAGCAACCTTTTCTGCAACAGTTGCTCTTATTTTGCTGTAGTCTGTGGAAAGAAAGTAGAACCATAAACTGTGTTTAGCAGAATAAATATGAAAAAATATTTTTATTGATACATTCATATATATGTATAGAAAAATATATAAACCAGAAGTGCACAATGTCAAAAGCTCTGATCACTGTCAGCGGTGGCATTTAGGGGGAATTAACTTCATACAGGCAAAATGGGGGGACAAGGACTAACTTGACAGCAGATATAACTTGCACTACGATGCCAACATTAACCAACGTTCCCATATTTTCTAAGGTAAACACGTAAAGTTAAGGGTCACAATTTAAACAAGCTATGAAATTCTTAATGCACATCATAGCACAATGTAGAACTAAAAAACTAACATGCACAAACGATATAGATTGTTTCACTGATTGCATTTAAACTTACATTATTTTTTTGCCAAGAAAGCACTTTTTAAAAATAATGCAGTTTCCACATTAACTATGGACAAACTGTCCAAGATCCATGTGCACATGATAATTTTGATATGTTAATGCATAATAAATTTCACACTGTGAAATATATATCCTCTTATTAGTCTTCCCTTTTCAATATAAAAAGAACACGCCTCACATGCACCATGCCACCGATTGAGCATGCTCTCGCTCTCTCTCTCTCTGGATAGCTCAGTGGGTCACACCACTGACTTTGGTATGGCAGGTTGGGGTTTGATTCTTTGTCAGGGCATAGTATCAATGTGGGCCCTTAGCAGGGAGAAAGGACACAGTGTCAGCTTGGGCCCTTAGGCAGGACCCTTACTGCTATCCACCTAACAAGGTACTACACAAAAGCTATGGCTAGGAGGGGTCAGGATGCCAGGAAATGGGGGAGATATCATCCTCCCCCAATCGGAGATTGACTATCGCAATATTTGGTTTCTCTAGGATCATGACTAATGTGAAGTAGTGAGAAAGGTGTAATGAAGGCTAGTAGCCAGAAAAGTGTAGGGACAAAATTGAGTACCTCCTGGAAACCAAGCAAGCTGATATACAGGGAAAAGGCGTGATGAACACTAGTAGTGAAGTGCCTCAGGAGAAAGGTGTGATGAAGAAAGGAGGCACACAGAGGGAGAGAGGATCCATGGCTTTACTTTTTACTACTAGTAACTTGTCTTATTAAAAGGTTAAGCTGGGGATCTGGTCTCCCACCCTCTGTGTGCCTCCTTTCTTCATCACGCCTTTATCCTGTATATCAGCTTGCTTGGTTTCAGGAGGTACTCCGTTTTGTCCCTACACTTTCCTGGCTACTAGCCTTCATTACACCTTTCTCACTACTTCACATTAGTCATGATCCTAGAGAAACCAAATATTGCGATAGTCAATCTCCGATTGGGGGGAGGATGATATCTCTCCCCCGTTTCCTGGCGTCCTGTCTCCTCCTAGCTGTAGCTTTTGTGTAGTACCTCGCTAGGCGGATAGCATTAAGGGCCCTGCCTCAGGGCCCAAGCTGACGCTGTGCCCCGACAGTGAATCGAACCCCAACTTGCCATACCAAAGTCAGTGGTGTTACCCACTGAGCTATCCACCGGCTGTATAGGGACACATTTTGAACTTTTACTGGTTTCTGTTTCTCACATACACTACTGGTTGAAGACTTTAGAACATTTCTGCGCCGCGCCCCCACCCCACCCCAAACCTAGAGGAAACACTGAAGCGCCATAATCTACATACAGTAGTCTTACATTACTAATATGTAACCAACATCAATTTGTTACAGCTAGTCATCTTTGACATTAATTAGTGCTACATAACATACTTGCTACATTAGATATCCATGATTTGTCAAGGGATTTGTTTTGGGAACTCAAAACCTCCCAGCATTGTCACCAATTTCCATCACCATTTTCTTCATGTTAGATGCATCAACTACAGAAGCACATTGTATTCACCAAATTGGAAAATCTTATCTTATCATGCATGCCTTTATTTCTCAGAATTACAAGATAATGCAAGAGTTGAAATGCTGCAGAACTTGCCTGAAAATTAGGTTTTAACAAGTTCTTTAGTATCAAAGTAATTCAGTGATAGTTACAATGCATCCAATAGTATATAACTAATTCTGCATACTTATTGCTCCAAAATGTAAACAAATATAGGCTATAACTGGGCATCAACAAGGCTGCCTACAGTGCAACTCTTTATATACCTGTGCTGAGTAGGACATTGAAAGATTCAGAATGCTATTTTTAAGATTTTTTCTGTATTTATGCAATTCTGACAGCAGATCCAACAGTATATAGCAAAATGAGCAGCTGATTCAGTGTACTTAGTATTCCAAAACACACACAAATACAGTCTAGACTAAAAACAGCAGATACAAAATATTGTCTGCTTATCGTTAACAAAATCCCCAAAAATATCCAACACTCCTAAGGTTTCCTGATTTGTCTAAACTGTCTATATAATGAATGAGCTTAAATACCAGGTTGCCATAGCCATAAATATGAGCTACTGTGAGCTGCAGCTTGTGTGCCATTTTTATGTTACTGTATATTTGTATACTTTTTGGAACACTAAGAACACGGAACTAGCTTTTAGTGGTTAATTTTGCTATATACTGGATGTGCTGTCAGAATTGCATAAATACCAGTCTCAGAATCTTAAAACCCCAATGTTCTCAAGCAGGTTTTAAATCTTTCCAACTCCTGCCCGGTACATGTAGATAGGCAGCTGTTTTGAAACCTGTTCTTGGCCTATATTTTACATTTTGGAACAATAAATATTCCAAATTAGCTATTAACAGTTCACTTTTGCTATGTGCTATTGGATGTACTGACAACCATCACTGAATTATTTTGATACTAAAGAATTCATTAAAGCTCCGTGAGGTTCTACCCCCACATTATCTCATAATTACAAGAAAAGATCCTTCACTTTTTTTTTTTCCTTTGGTGAATGCAATGTGCTTCAGTAATCAACATAATAAGCACTGAATGGGGGAAAAAAAAGGACTGGACTCACCACTAGCTTCTCCACCCACTATCTCAGAAATGACATGTTCCTGATAAGTTACATACAAGTCCCACTGTGAGATAACTCAGCTGGTCTTTGTTGAGTCCTGCTGTTTACTGAGCAGGGCCTCCAGCAAACGGAGCTTCACTTTGAGGTTCTTATACTGGCAGTACTCCTCTGCCATAGGCCCACGGTCCTCCTTCTGACAAGCCCTGTTAAGAATACACAGAGGAAATAAAATGCAAACAAAAGGCAGAACTTTTTTTTTTTTTTTTTTGTAGTTTCCAAACAACTTTCAGCAGCTTCCAAAACTGGTTGATAGTCCCTATGTTGCCTTATTCGGATAGCTTTGTACAATGTGTATTGTAATAATAAAAAAATTTAAAAAAAAAACGTATGTTGGAGGACTAACATGTACAGTTCAAAGCAAATGTCTATCTCGCTGTCTCTCTTTCCTGAGCTCCCTGTGTGGTATTAACGTTATGTGAGTGTGCATTACATTGCCATACCATTACAATGGAATTTCTTTTGTGGATGTTTATTCTTTGTTTTTCACAAGGCATTGTTGGAAACCAAATGTTCCAAGTTTATTAAAAGGTCAAATAAAATTCAAAAGCCACATAGTTTGGATGTGCTGTGTGTTGTGTGTGCGCAACCTTTACCTGCCTGTCTGCATGTAGAAATGATCCTCAAACTCTTTGAGTGCTTGATGAAGTCTCCGTTTCTCTAATCGAGCCAGCCTGAGGTGATCCAGTAACTCTGATCTGTGAAGAAAGAATCAAAGAACAGATTTATCAACTGCTTTTGTGCGCAATTTTGAAAGTGTTGCAGATGTTAGAAAGTAAGCAGGATTTGAAGTTTTCTCTCAACCTCTAATTTTCCATCCTGTCACTTTTTGTGTGAAGAAATGAGTGGAGCACCATGAAACACTGTTCTAATTTCAACAGTCTGTCTCACTTTTCAAAGGCAGCGAACTTTCTGCCATGCCTTTGACTGTAGCCACTGGGAAACTTGCCTTCAGACAGTCAGAAAACAAATAAGAGTCCTTATCAAATATAGTTTCAAATTAACCCCAGTGCTGACAACAAATAGATTAAAGGATATATGAAGCTAAATAACAATAAAAGAGGCTATAGTTCAACTAATACCAAAACCATATAATTCAACAAGTAATGTGTTAAAATAAACTAGACATCACAAACCAACTGTACCTGGATGCTTCATGTAGTGTTGCCATGGTGATGATCTGTGGCTGAAAACTCTTGACCTCCTCCAGTGGGGACACCAGAGGTGTTTCAGACATTTCTAGGGAATGCAGATGCAGCGATTCATCTGAGGACACACACCTGGGAGGTTTCAGCGAGAGTGGCTGCTGCCTGGGGCTTTGCTGTTTGGGATGTTCTTCATCAGATCCCTCTTCCTCCTCCTATGTAGGCACACAAGCAAAGAGATGAAGGGAACCATGCAAGATCAGAGAGCAACAATGCTTTGTCTTTATCTATACTAGGTCTATTTGAACTGATAAGAGCTTAAATTCATTAGCTGATAACAGCAAGATGCCAAGAAACCGTTATTAGTTTCAGCATTCTCTCCTGCCACCATTTATTTTGCTCAGTGAACTTCAGCATTTCACAATAGTTTAATATAGCTCTTGTATCTGGACACTAGAGAGCAGCAGAGTTTCACTCTTCTGCATGGTCAGCTGCAGACAGTACACATTATGAAGTTCTGGAGATCTCCTCCCTATCTACATCTACATCCCAACTATTTCTTAAGTAAAATTCATTATTCAATGTTGGGTTACTCACAATAGGCGTAATAAATGCTGAGGCAGCAGAAGAGAACAGCAGCTGCTTGAGAAGTCGGTACCGATCATAGAAAGGTTTCATCAGAGTTCGCTCCTGCCTAGTGCTCTGAAGACACACAGGAAGAAAGAGACAAGCAGAAAACACCTTGTTATAGTTGGTAGTATACCACATAGAAAGAAAGAAGCAAATGCTGTATAATGACAGGGGTTAGAAAACAAAACTACTCAAGAACTGTCTAGGCTTACCGGTCGTCCATGCAGACTCTCATAGTGCAGCAAACACTTCTGCATGCTAGTCTTCTCCATAGTCATCTGGAAGTGGGACATCTCCTGAACATGTAGACACAGAGAAAATGTAACAGCTGATCAATTCAACTGCCCAACTTAATAAATTACTACAGTTCCAGTTTAACTATCAAGTGAATAAGCATACGTCGTTTTCTTTGCTTTACTTATCCAGGGTCAATAACCCACACATTCTCCCTCCCAACCCAGGGAATCTGACCACCAAACATATATAACAATGACTGTGTGTGTGAGGTGAGTGCATTTCTGTAATAGTAACCTTGATGCTGTCGGGCAGGCCCAGCTCTCGCCGTCTCTCCTTCAGTCTGTTGGTTATCATGTTCACAGTGTCCTCCACATTTGGCTTGGTGTTGCTGTTGTTGTAAAGGTGCTGCAGCTCAGTTCCTCTTATTGCTGCCTCCTTCTGGTCTTTAAAGGTCCTGCATGTTTCAGTTGGTGGGTTGAAACCTCCCTGCCCTCTTAGTCTCACTTCTTCTGACTGTCTCAACTTCAGCTCTGAAGGGAAGAAGGCAGGTCAGAAAAAAATGATGACATGGCAACAGGAATTGTGTGAACCTAGAACTTTGGTTCTCTGGTTAAACCACAAAGTGCATTTCTTTTTGTTTACAATTCCAAAATTGCTTTCATCAAGTTGTTGATGCATGTTTACTTTAGTGGGGAAAATATATTAAGTATATTTATTCAAGTACTGTTTTAAACTGTAGTTTGAAGCACCTGCACTTTACTTGACTAGTTCCATTTTATACTACTTTCAAATTCCACACCATCTCATTTCAGAGGGAAATACTGTACTTTTTACTCTAATGCATGTATCTGACAGCTATAGATCCTTTAAAGAGTAAGATTTTACATAGAAAACACACACAATAAGCTCAATAAATACAGATTATCCATAATTACGTCAGTGGCTCCAAACCATTTGGCTTTTGACTAAACTAACTATAAACTAGGTCCCTGTTGACCATCTACAACATAAAAATGGTACTTATGCACCGATGCATCATCATTAATAATCTAATATTGTCATAATATCCCTAAGAGGGGCCAATTTTTCTGCTGAATGAGTATTGAGACATTAACTATATTTAAATGCTAATACCTCTGTATTTTTATTTAAGAAAAAAATTTGAATACTTCTTCCACCACTGCAATCATTAATTCATGTGTTGAGTGGGATATATTATAACTGACCTTTAAGCTGCTTGCGACTTTTCATGAGCTCCTTCATCAGTCTGGCAACCTCTGGATGAGCTGTCTTGTCATTATGTGCCGGCTGAAAAACAATAACAAACAAACTCATGTACACAACACGGGCTTGTCTCTTGCAAAATGATGTTTTTCTTAGCCCTTTGTATCAAATCTGGGTAGTTTCCATATTTACCAATAATTTTTGTGCTGCAGCAGCACTATCAACCAGTTGACTAAGATCATTGCATAACAAACTGTAACTATTCTAATCTACCAGTAGAGGGAGTAATTCATTCTAGCATGAGAATTTGTAGTTGGCGTCAACAGCATCAGCTTTGAACTGAAACATCACTAACAAACCCAGTCAGGCATGCTCTTGAAAAACAGTTCTGAGTCCAATCATGAATCACAAGATAATCCAGCTCTGATTTTCCTCCTCACCTTGTAGTGTTTTTCCTGTTCAAAGCTTTCCTCAAAATGCCTGATCCTCTTCCTCAAGGTGTGGATGTGTCTGTTGATCACTGAGATGGAGACAGAGCCCTCGTCTAATGCTGTGCTACAGCGAGCCCTTGAGATGGAAAATTGCACATTTATCCACTTAAACTTCTGACATTCTGTATATGGATCCAGGACTGATACTTACAACATGCATTTAACTAATTAACATTGAGCCACTATTCCCAAATAAAGTCAGGGAGCAAACAGTTGACTTACATGCGCATGTGCTGTGAGCACGGTGGCGAAGGGGCTGTATCAGGGTCTAAGTTGTAGCGCAGGCTGTGGCTGAGACTGTGGCAGCGCGGTGAAGGAACAGGGCAGTCAGACAATGTAAAGTGAGAGAGTAGGGGGCTCATGTTAGTGTCTGGTGGGCTCTGCAGGGTGTCCCCTTCTGAAATTTCCTCAGAAAGACTGGCTATGGAGATGACAGAACTGGATTCTGATGAATGAGGGGAGGCTGTGTATACTGCAAAAGAGAAAAGACAAAATATTAACAAATCTATTTTTGTGTTTCTCCCATTTCATGTCTGCTAGATTATATCAGTTTCTCTTTGCCCCACAGAAACAAGGGGAAATACTTAACAGTGTATATTGGGGAAAAAAAACAACCTAATCCTATAATTTCAGTGTATCAGGACATCATCATCGTCTTACCAGGCTGTGATGAGCTGACCATGTGCTGATCCTGGTCAGTTGGTGGTGGTGGTGTCGAATGGAGGAGCAGCTTGTGGGTTAAATACAGGCTCTGCTCATCAGGAGAAACAGGCTGCTGCAGAGCAGGAAGGTTATCCTGAATTAGGGGGTCTACTGGTACTGGAGGGGGCCCCAAGTCAGTCTCTACAGCCTCCAGGGCTTGAAGTTTGAGGGAGGGGCTCTGGAAACAGAAGCAGAACATGACTTCAGGGATGCAGATGATCAGAGGCAGAAGAAGTCAGAACGATGTATCGTAGGTTGCATGTAAGGAGTCTTCAGCATTTCACATGCTGATCAGGAATCTTGAGAGGCAGACTAATCTAAAAGAAGGCTGACTTTAAGGATGGTTGAAATGTGAGGAGCAAGCTTCGCTTCTCAAAAAACAAGCAAATCTTTGATCTTGCAAGGCTCCCAGTCAGTTACAAAAGAAAAAATGGTGATTACAAAAAACAGGCTTTCCTCTGCTGTAGCTCTCCTCTGGTCTCTGGTGTGACTAGATCCAGCCAGACAGGCATTCAACCAGCTAAACGTGAATCCCGCTCACTTTTGTCAGTCAGTGAGTCAGATCCCTAACGTGCATCAGCATCCAGCGTGGGATCCCTGATGAGCAACATGCTGTAATTCTATTAAAAGTGTCACTGTGATTCCCAGATCACCTGATCAGTGTGTTTCTGGGTGTGTAATTGGATGAGAGTATAGCAGAGCTCCTCAAGAGAATCCCTAAATCCATATGGTCTTTCCTTCTAATGGCATTTTTCCATATCGATCTTTCACCATGCACGGAAGAAGGCATGCAGCGGGAATACCATTCGTGTCGGGGAGTGTGATGTGGGGGCTGTGTGCAAGCAAGGAGCAAGGCAGTGTATATGACGCGCTGTTTCCATAGCAACGTTGTCAGAATGAGCTAAGGAGTCCGTTTGATGGAGCTGCAGAGAGTCACGTAGCTGTTTGCCTTGTGCGTGTGTGTAAGTGGGTGTATATGCTATGAACTCTGATGCTGCTATGGAGAGTGGAAAAAAAGAAAAAAAAAGATTTATATTTCTTATTTAGCTGCACAAAAACATCCTGAGCTCAGTGAGGAGGCAGGAATATAAAGCAGTTCATTTACATGCTCTGACATCATTCTCAGCATTATCACCACGAATCCTTACCCTGCTTGGCATTTCAATAAAAAAAAAAAAAACAACTGAAAACAGAAAAAAAGACAACATTGGTTTGTGCGTCACACAGAGGAGGTGGTGGTGGTGACGTTGTTATTACTGAAGCAAAACCCCCAGAGGCAGGCAAGCTCACACCTAGGATTACATATAGATGTGTGCAAATAAACACACGGGCACACAAACACAATCGCTGGAGGCATCAGTGGTCCTGTTGTCTAGATACTGTCATTCCACAAAAATGTGTTAATCAGTGTAGCTAAAAAGGCAATGGGGAAGGAGAACTTGCGTCATAGCTGTTGTTCCTGCCTGTGCAATCACTGTGCATGTCAGGAGAACCACTATATTCTCCCTCTCCTCCTCTTCGTCTCCCCTAAAGGGAGAAACAGCATACGCACAGATGAGATCTCTTTCCAGAAGCCAATTTATTGACATGTGGGCACACACAAAAACGTGGTTACAATGACGCATGCTGTATAAGTGGATGATTATTTTCCTTTTATCTACAAAGTTTGTTTTATTTAATCAATAGCTTGAACAGTTTCCTCCAGAAATGCCAACTGTAATATACGTCCTAATTTAACTCATTGCCCCACAGTGGAAAGCACTGACCATCACTGTTACCATCACCTAGTTGCGTGTGCCCCTCAGAATTAGACAAGGCATCCTAAATGTTTTTGTTAGCCACTACTAAATAAAATCATCATTTATTATGGATATTCTAGTAACCCCTGTGAATGTCACTCTTGGTGTTATTACTCAATACCTGTCTATCTAAAATTTGAATCTCAGTGTTGGGTTGTTAGGTGCATTAGCTAGCTCGCAAGCCAATGGCTAAAAGCCTCAAACCTGGCTATCAGTGACTAAATTTTAAGTAATCAACCATGCAAATAAATTGGAGACGGCAGCCATGGGCTTCAGAAAGGTCTGTTTACCTGCCACTCAGACACTTTGATTTTGTCTTCTGTCTTGTGCTCCATAGAGTACAGCAGTCTGAAAAACAAAATTCTATTAACAACAGGCAAACACAATAATAGCACAATAAGTATTGTTAAAATAAATCCTCACATTATTTATATCAACACTGTTTCTCCCTCTGGCAAGATCCCAGTCCATATGACTATTACACACCATACTCTGAATGCATTTATAATCAATGTTGTATCAAATCTGCTCACAGGAAAGACTGCCCAGCACTCTGTGTAGCTTTGAGGGTAATTGGTCATCTGGCCCTGCCACTAAGGTTATGGCTCATTCATGTCTGATGTTAAAAAAGCCTAACTGAGATGACCTGTCCTGGAGGCAGCAAATAGAATTTCAGCATGCCGCCATGCTAGGTCGAGCTAATCTAGCCTGTTGACCTGCTCCTGTGGCAACTCAGTGTTATATAAACTGGAACCATAACAAAACCATGACTGTGAGCGGCACACTGCTCCAGTAACCTACTTCTCAACTGACTGCAGGGCTAAGAGATGAGCTGAACTGAGAGGAACCGAGCAGGAATAGTGGGGGATGAAAACAATTATAGCATCCAAAATAATCAGATTAAATGTAATGAGATAAGAGCATACACCTTTGATTTGTGGTTATATCTGAATCTTTGTAAAATTTCAAATATCTGCTAAAGGACAGTGTGAAATCAGGTGGATGTTTTGTTATTTAAATGTCATATTAGACAAACTATGGACAAATATGTTATGAAAACTGAACAAAGCAGAAAGAGAGGAGGAAAAACACAAATGCAACTAAATATCTTGTTTAATTGTCATGCAGAAGCTTTTCTCTCACCTCTCTGTGTCGCGCAGCTGTGTTTGGGTGTTGCTCTCTAACTGATTCGCTATGCAGCAGTTTGAAACAGACGATGTTTGGTCTGCATTTGGAGAAGCCTGAAAAAAGTTAATTCATGTCACATAAATGGACATCTAATGAGATAACACATTTTTACACTTTAAACTTTAAAAGAAAAATTGTGCTCTGTTGCTTTAATACTACACACTCCAGACTGAATGTGTCAGCATATGCAGGAAGCACCAGCTGTCTGTACACTGTTTTACCACATTCCTGTAGATCTAGACATTAAGCTAGATGTTTTGAGTGCTAACTGAGAACTCTTATGTGGTTGAAAATGGGAGAGAAGAAGAAAAATGTGAAAGAAAACAACAAAAGCCAACAACAAAGAGTATGAGAGCTAGAAATATGAGAAAATCAACAATGCACAGTGTTGAACACTTCTTTCATGGGTGAGAAAGGTGTTCTTTGCTCCTCTACCTTGTCTACTTCTTCCTCATCTTTCCCCTTCAGTATGGAGGTGAATGGTGGCATCTCAGCAAAGGTCCTGTTGACAAATAAAAACTCATTAAACTGTAAAAAAACAACAACAAAAAGACAAAAAGCTATACAATACCAACATGTTGCATTAATAAAAACTGATGAAAACAAATTTAAGGAACTAAAGAGGTACATATGTCTTATACTCTCAAAATTATGTTAAAAACCCTCTTGTCAAACTGTTTAAGGAGAAGATATCATCTGTATTTGGAAAAAGGGGAAGACAAACAGGAAAGGCGCTCACCCTTGCATGGTACACTCCAGCTCCGGTGGCTCCCCTTGGATGCTGCTAGATGGTCCGCTCTGTTGTGGATGCTGTGCTGTCCCTGGGTCAGCGTTACAGGAGAGCAGACACTTTGGCTCCATTCTTTCACTGCTCTCCAAAGCCTCCTGGTCTGTAATCAGCTTCTGAATGTCAGCACTGACGTCAGAACTAGTTTCACAGCCCTGCTGCAGTGTGTCAGGACTGTAGAGAGACACAAAGAGAGTGAGGGAGGGTTGGAGGAAATGAGCAGAAAAGGAAATACCTCTTACTAATGGGGCATCCTTTATAAAGTATTTATAAGTTGACAGTAATGGCTATATCGTGGTTAGAAACTACTCAGTAGTAAGACAAATATTCTCTGTAGCTACAAATGTTAATTCATCTGATGTTTAAATTAGTTGATAAATTGATAATAAACTGAATTTGGTCCAGATGTTTCTGGCCCTTTTATGCAGAAGACTATGGCTGAATGGCCCAGTGTAAACAACGTCCAGTGTGATAAAGACCAGAGAAAGACAAATACTAGGCAAAGGGACTGGTCACAACATGGCAACCTAAAAGTTTTGTTTTTTTAAATTTATGGTTTATTTCTGTTCTATACAGAATTAATAAAAGACTTATTTACCATTTAATAATGTTTTTAATCCATATATTACAAATGGTAAACCCTCTATAAATGATGCCTTAGGAGTAAGTGTTACCAAAAAGGTGAAAACAGCAAAATATCAGGAGGAGAGAAAGACAAAAATGAAAAGAAATGAGTTAGAAAGATGAAGGTCAAACATCAAGGATGACCTTTACGATACATGAATGATGATAAACAAATTTGAAGACAGTAATGAAAGAATAACAACTCCAACCAAATCAGTAGACCATTAAAAACATTTGGAAAATGACACTGGAATAAATGAGATGGATTCATGTTGTTAGCAGCAATACAAGTCATATAAAATCTACATTTCACAGTGCTAAAATAAATTAAGCTGGAATGTCCAGCTATTAATCCCAGTTTGCCTCTGCACCAGGTACCTTGGCAAACAAAAACATCCAGCAGGTCACGAATCAACAGTGCTTAATCTAATGCTACACTACAATATGTCTCATGAAGCTCTAATGAGTTACTCTCAGCAAAAACAAGCAGTACTGATTTGCCATGTGAACCAAAAACAGCCCATCAATCATATACTTGCTCAAAGCTGTGTATGACTTTAGAACAGATGGGACAGTACAGCAGCAGGAAGAGTCTAATGATAGCTGCTCAGGCTATTAGTCATAGAATAAGCTGAGCAGCCATCAGCCTGCATTTTCACAATGAATTACATTTCTACTTTAAGTTTCTATTCCTCAGACATCCTTCACCTTAACATAGGCCAGGTCTAGGTCTCTTCCTGTAAAAGATCTGCACTTCTTCACTGGGCCTAAGACTGCCTTGCATTAGCTTACTCACTTTTGGAGGATTGCAGAAGCATGGTTGTTGTCACAGATGCTGAAGCAGATGAGACAAGAGAGCATCCTCTGTCGAAACATCTAAACTCACAGCAGTCTAGCATACAGACTACATCTGACAGCTTGCCCCTTTGGAAGGACATAGAGCCAAACACATTAAAGAAAGGAGAGCACAGATGATGAAGACTTGATGGTCATCAACATCCTGAGGCAGACAGCTGACCCAGCCCCTTCAATTACCCATGCCACCGCACGCATACACACACACACACACACACACACTTCCTTGCAAGCACATGTGCATTTGAAGTGCTGTACAGCAGCACTAAGTCATATTTAGGGTCCAGAATTCCAGTTTTAGCACTGTAAAATAGGTGGAGGAGGTCTGGAGAGGCAAAGACAACAAAATACACATGAACTAACAAATAAATACAAGAGTGCACAGAACTAGGCTACATAGATTCCTACTCATATATTAGTTTAAACTCTGATATGCCTCAGAATTACTGCTGACAAGTTCACTGATTTTAAAAAATGTGACTACACTGGGAAAATTATTCATGTGAATCAACCATCAAATTCCATTATGAGATAATTTTTGATCTACATACTCTGTATAGATTTGCTGAGAATAGAAATGCATAAAATGAACCTTCATTGTAAAATGAACTAAGTGGCTGTCTGAAAACACTCTGTCCTTTCTGTTATAGTTCAATCTATATTTTTGACATATCTTGTGTAACCGGTATGAGGCAGAAAATAGATAATTTGTAGGTATAATTAGACTAGAATCAATATGGACTCTGACGTTAGTGGAAAGCATAGAGGTCCAGACAAAACAGCATGCAAATGCCAGATATGCTTGGAGGAAGCATAACATCTCAGTGACAAATCACAGTCTGACATGTAGAAGCAAATAACTGCCCCATTCTTACTTGTTTTTACCAAATAAAGCTACATCAGAGCTTTTTAACAAACCAACCATGAGAAATATGGTTGTGTGTTCTGGATCCTGTATTGATGCCCTTGGCATAACCGTAATAAATAAAAACTAGAACAAAATATATTTTTTCAACATTTACTGTAGTTATTTAATCTAAACCTCTTTCATTGTAACAAACAGGGCTTGGACTAATAAGGAAAAATCTGTGTGTCTTAGATTCAGATATATATTATATCTAGAAAGACAGATGGAATGATGCAACATCTTCTGCCTACTAAACTGATGAGAGTGGGAAGCTGTTAAATAGAAATGACTGGTAATGTTTGCCCCATGAGTGCTAAAAAACAAATATGTGGTGAGAACACATGAAACCAGCTTGGTACAGCTTTTGCTTCCACATGTGGCATCTTGCATGAAATGACCTGAGATGATGTACGTGCCTACAGAGGGTACCCGATGCCTGAATAAGAACTCCACATTTTACACTGATTAACATTTTCTTGCTCTGGGCTACAGAGATATTGCCTCAGTGTCAGATTTTATTAAACAAGCTGAGGGAAGCATGGCAGATGAAAGATAATTGGCAGGTGGTCAGCTAGGAGCAGTGTTTTGTGTCAACGTGAGCGGTAGAAACAAATAGATGGATGTGTCTGCCGGTGCGTTGCTATGCCATCAGCTGGATGATCAACAACCCTTTCTCATGTCAGCTGGGAGAGACTCACACACTGCACGTGCCATGCCACCTTTTAGGATTGAATGACTACATCTGCCAATGACTCCTTTTTAAACCGACATGTGGATAGATTAATTATGGTCTGGTCAGTCTGGCATCGAGCCACCATGCAGCCCTTTGAATATTCCTGTTGCCTTCATTTCCCATCTTTAGTTCACATGGATTTTATTAGTAATACCTCAGTCATTTAGAAACAACATCTTCATTAGCCTGAATTCCTCTGAGCCAGATCTTTTTGGTCACAACATAAACAGAACCACAATCCATATCTTCTTAAAATGACAACAAGAACACAGAACTTCCATTCATACACAAACAAATTAAATTACCTGATGCACAACTGTATTCATATACACGTGACAGCCTCAATTTAATCAGTGCATGCGAATGTCATGTCACATGCTGAGCGGGGGCAGCCAAATGTAGAAGGCATATAATTTCATGTCTATGTCTGAGTTCTGGGTAGGAAAAGTTCTCCACAAGCAGACAGTCATTAGTATGTAGATTCTATCTGAAGGACCACTCTGCCATTATTCTACTTCTCTGCTCCTTCCAGCAGCAAACGTGTGATGCTATTTTTACTTGCAATTAGACTGAACGGCCACTGAGCTGTACAAGCAACACCACCTCTTCCTGTTGACTGCAGGATGGTGTTACCACCTGCATTTAAAAGAAGATCTTTTTAACTGCTTGCATCCTGCCCCTACCGACCATGATATCATTAGTGAAGAGAAAGCAAACAGCCCTAGACTATTAAATGAATAACCTGAACATTTAAACTTTAACCAAGGCTGTTTGAAGGACCACATCATAGCAATAATCTAAAATCTTGCTCTTTATTCACTTCCTGATGGAAGCACATCCCATAAAATGTGCATCAACAATGAAAAGCTAGGGTTTCCTGAGAAGAATTTGGACTGTCTGACAATGATAAAACAAAGCAACACAAGGTAACTCTTAGTGACTTCAATGAGTTAATACAACCACCAACCTCACGACTGACTAAACAACGCCGAGTATAGTCTGAAACGATATAGGGAAAAGGTCGTTCAGCTACTAATTACACACCCAGGACAAGAGGTTTGTGTATATTCACAATACATCACTGACTACATTGATTCAACTGAATCAGGCAGGAAAGAACCTGTTCTTAAACAGCTGCATTGACATAGCAGTTTAAATGATCCATCTAACTGATGTTAAGGTGATGACAGTACCTGTTGAATTGAGAGTGCATCTGTATTGCTTGGTTGAAGACACTGGTGGTCTCTCTCTCCAAACTGTCCACGCTACCTGGCTCTGTCTGACGGCTGCTGGGTTGACTCTACCAAGGAAACACACACACGTACACATGCGCACACCATTAGATCAACAAAAAGCTCCAAGCATTTCTTTTTCCATTATCTGCTTTTTACCGTCTACAGTGTTCAACAAATTAAATAAGACTTAAGACTTGTCAATACCACACTGAAAGTAACTTTAAAAGGTTTCCTCTGTCGTACCAGAGTACCAGAATGATGGGAAACCAGCAGAGACAATAATGTCTGTAATTATTTAATAAGAGTATGACTTTATTGACACTGATGTATGCCAAATTTTTGTCAGTACCTCCCAGCTGTAGATTATATAATTCATCAACTAACACAACCTGGAACCAGATAAGTGGAAGAAAATTGATGGATGGATGAACTGACAAAAAAAATAATGAACTGAGGTCAGTTTAAGATTAGGCTAAAAAGCTGCACTTATTCCCAGTCTACAGTGGCTAGCGGTGGCAACAGTGTTCATTACAGGTCTGAATATACTGACTGAAATGTCACAAAAAAAAAAAACCCCAAAAAGAAAAAAACAGCCACAAACAACACTCACTTTTAATTTACAGGTATATACTTAAAGGTATATGTTGCTTGTTAATACTGTTTATTTTGTTATACTACACAGCCTTATGTTGGTTTACTGTTTACTTGCCCCTTGCATGGGGATATGTACATGCAGAGAGAGCTGCTGTACCAGAGTCAAATTCTTCGTGTGTCCGACACACTTGGCCAATAAAGCTGATTCTGATTCTGATAATGTTTTCCAACAGCCCGCAACCAAATACAAAAGAAATATCTATAAACAATGTTACTGTTGATGACAGGGATGAAAAAATGTTCAGAACCTTTGTAAATGAGATCTTTTTGAGGGAAGTGAAAGAGGTTTCACAAGCTGCAGACAGCTGGTACATAGTACACGAGTTCAACAGCTGACATAACTGGCCCTGAAGTTAAAACTGTTCTATTTGCTGGAATGTGCTTTGACTACATCAATAGTGGGATACTGATGCAGGCACAATATGTATAAAGACAAACCATAAAATTCAATCAATGATGCAACCATTTCTGTCAAATGGAATAAAATATATATGGTTCACCTCAAAGTGCAACAATGCAGAGAGAGGGGGAGGGGGTGAGGAGGCGGTGATCGAGTTGGCCACTGTGCCCTCAGCTACGACTGGAAGGAGAACCTTCTGATGCCGGAGAAGGTGAAGCAACAGGGCATTACACATACTCTGCTCCTCTAGCATCCTGGGTCCTACTGGAACACTGCGTAAAGAACAGGTTGGGAGGGAAACAGCACAATGCCACATGTATTATGTGCTGTGCATTCAAAACAGTCCTCTAATAAGTGTTGTAATAAACACAACAGAGAAGGGCTCCATCTAGTGGAAGGAGGCATATACATCATCCTGATGAACTGGTCAGACTGCATAAGGTGACTCAAAACCCAACACCGACAAAAATAAACAGCCGGGCTGTAAACCCTTGCAAAGCTTCACTCTGATGTTGGCAACGTCTTTATTTCAGAGATATATTATGATCTTTCTTATCCACTTTGGAAATCTGTCTTCAGCTTAACCTCACAGAAACAACACATGGTCAACAACAACAGAAGACAATACTAGAAAACAACACAAAAGATTTTACAAAATGGATGATACAATAAGAGCGATAATAATAAGAATAGTATTAGACATAGTGAGAATGGTAAAATGAAAAAAAGAAAGGCTGCATTTCTGTGAATTAGGAAGCTAGTGTTTAGCATTCTAATTGCATTAGGAAAAGAAGACATACATATTTCTGGTGGCTCATTCTTGTCTGTGACGTCTCCCTGGGGGTAAGAGCATAAAGTGCAAGTGCAAGCAAAGTGCGAAAGGGATCACTTATAATATTGATCTTTGTTTATTAAATTGAATTCATATTTCTTACTTAGTTGCATCTGCAGTTTTCCTGATATTGTGCTAGCGATGTTTACTATTCTCTGCAATTTATATGCAGCTTCTGGTCTTCTCATCTCAAATTCCATCTCACACAAAAACTGAAAATTCATGCCATGTTTACCTGAGAGCAGTTATTTGCTTTCAGTATATTTGGCTTTTTTCAAGATCTTATCCAATGTATGCACATTAAGTAAAGGTTAACATAGCCTACACCAAGGTAAGAGAATGTAAAACGTTTGAGTATCATTAGATGTGTTTTTACATGGCAGGCAGGCCAACTGGAATGACAGGACAGAACCAACCTAAAACATAGATGTATAAGGTCAACAGACTGTTTTGAGAGAGGGGCTGAATGACAGACATTGTGTTATAGGGAAGGGGCTGTTGTAAAAAAGTTGTTACATATGCTGTGTGGCAAGAACATGTGCTACATTGCTTGTCTTTACAGGTCATTTAATCATAAATTAATAGCAGCAGGATTAAATCCTTGCAAAAGCAATAAAACTGCCAATGAACTTAAATGTTGCCTAAAAGCTATTTTGGCTAAATAGCTTTTTTTTGCAGCACTGTCATTTATTCAAGCCATTATATCATTCATCTCTTCCTCTGCTGTAATGCCCATAGAACCTGACGCTGAAAGCACAGGATGTTCTCCAACTCTCTGTAGCTACCACAACCACAACCCATCTCCAACTTTTTCCAAGCCTCTGGTGCCACACACCCTCACCAACCTCTCTTCCTCTGGCCGTCATCATCTGAAATTGTCGTAGCATATGTAGAGCATCACAGCATGAGTAACGCCACATTCCACCAATATGCCGTTACGTTTCAGCAGAAAACACGGGACACTACATAAAGATCAAGTGATGGTTAAATAGTTGAAACAGCGTTTAGTGAGTATACCAAGTTCTTTCAACAGTGGCTGTAACTCAAACAACACTAATCTAAATGTAGGTATTTCTCCCAGATGACGGTTTGTTTGTTTATAGTCACAGCAGAGCACTGTAAATGGGAGGGGAAAAGCAACCAACAATATCCTGATGTTTTAACTGTCGCTTTGTGTGTCATGCTTTGTGTTATCAACTACAATCCATAGCCATTTCCCAGTAGTGCAACTGTGGAAAAATGAAGCTGACACAAAACTACTTAGGCTGATGAACTGGGCCAGACAGTAGGCTGCTCTCAGGACAATCAAAGGTTTGTTTCTACATGTGGATCTGACAAAGACAAGCTTGAAGAGAGACCATAATCTTGAACTCTCAATTATTCTTGAGCACACTTTAGAGAAGTCTCTTCAAATGTATCTCTCCTTAAAACAAAGCATGAAAACAACATTTTAAAATGTAATGTATATACAAGAGAATGCCCTTTTTTAAAGTTCATGTCAGAGTGTGACCTGACTGTACTGACTTGATTAGAAGAATCTTGTGTCCCAGTGCTGGTCTTGAGAAGATTTGTATGTAGCAATAACAGCAGCAACTTACTGGAATAAACAAGGCCCAAAGATGGTTGCCAGATTCTCCATGGGCATGTGATTTGATTGGCTGTGAGTAGCCACTCTGGACAGGAAGTGGATGAGGTAAGACAAAATGGAGAGGTTGTCATCTGGGAGGTGATGAAGATTTTCTTTTAAACGTCGGTTCATCTCTACCTCATCTGCACATTCTAAAAATAAGCAAAAATGGCAGAATACTTCTTAAGAAGCACTTCAATCACTGTCTCACACATGCATAAATCATGATCCTGAATCCACACCACAATAATCAGTCATCTAAATTTAAAATACATTTGTCCATATAGTGGATACCAACATAAAAACTCTAAATGTCTAGATTTTCATTTTTGCTGATTTCTTTAAATGACAGTATAGCAATTATTTTTGATTTTTTGCTAGACATCTTGCTAGATTCTTTGGCTGCATATCTTACTTACAATTAACAATAATTCAAACATCCACTTGTGTGTGTGTGTATGTGCACATATATATATTCTACATAAAGCTTTTTAAGACACGTCAACTTCTCTTGTCTTCCACCACAGAGAGGATACCTAGTTATAGAATATGACTTCTGAATGAGTTAGGGATTCAGCCCCTTGCAAAGGGATGCTTCAGTCAGACAGATGCTTGCCAACAGGCAGTTTCTCTACTATGCCACTCTCCAGTTGCAGCAATTTAATGGCTGTACCATAGTTCTCAAATGGGGTCCAGATGTACAGTGAAATATTGAGCTCAGTGGTGCCAAATCTAAGGAACACCAATATACGTAAGCACTATGACTGCAATTATATACTGAAAACATTAATGAAATTTGATTACAAAAATGCTAGTCCAGCATAATTTTCTGGTGCCTTTCCCAGTACCTGTGAGGCTTAAAACCATTTGTTTATGTTGGAGTTCAGGAACTATAGGGGTGGGAAGCTCCCGCAGAAAGAGTTTGAGGAGCGAGGCCACAGTGGGGACATCTCCCTCATGCTCCAGGTCCACCTTCTCTCCACGGTCCCAGCGCTGTCTCAGCTGCCTGGTCCGCACAATAGAGCTACACAGACGGAACAGACCTCTGTGGTGCATTCCTGTGATAAGGAAACAAGGACATTCAGTCAGTACACACAGGTGATGTTTGTGTATTGGTTTGCATCGGGTGAGCAAGAGAAAGAAATAGGGAAGGAAGGAAGGGGGCGTATAGGATAAAAACTAGCACTAAAACAGCAGAGGGGTCACAGAACAGTTACCATTCTTATCCAAGAAGTCCACTATGTCTCTTAACACAAGAGGTATTCCACAGACTGTCTGCCCATCCTCTCTGAGTGTTCCCAAGGCAACACCAAACATACACCTAGCAGTCCGTTCAGGCTCTGAAACCAGGGTGGGAGCTATGGGCTCTGGGCTGACCTTAGCACTGGGCCTCAGGATTCTCACTGAAGAAGGGTCACTCTGCATGAGTGACAAAAGAGGACATGCACTGACTCAAGTAAACAAATCAAGTTGTTCCATTATTACCTTACTATGGATGATCAGGTGTGTTTTAGAAAAACAGTGTGGGCCTGTATCTCAAGCCCATGTGAACTGGGGGTATCCTTTACTGGAGCGTCCTTAACCTGGACCCCTGTGATACATGTTAGTGTCAAAAACGTGAGATGCTTAGCATTAAAATTATTATAAATATTTTTTGAATTATGCACGGAGTCAGGACACAACTGCTCCAACCCCTTCGATAAACGATAATACGCCATGACATTTATGTGCATTTAATTAGTAAAGGCAGTGGTATGTGGTTAACTTTAACTAATTATTTCCTCCAGACACGACATGTTTTATGTTATAGCAACAGCTGTCTTTTTTTCTGTGGAGTCAATTGATGATAAAACTAACGAAGTTATCTTCCGCTCTTACAAGGGCTCGTAGGTAAAACTGCCCTACACAAGATGTACTCAATTAACTCGAAAACACAGAAGAATATAATAGTACAGTCCCTTCGCTAAACTTACACAGAGTGATACTGAGGCGCTTGCTCCCATTTTCAGCTCGGCAGACTGAAACAGCTCTCCATTTTTCACTTGCAAATGTTATTTTCCCGTCCTCGACAAGATGCTTCCCTCTCTGTAACCATCACAAAATCTGACGTACGGGGAATAATTACCTCCATCGCTCCAACACCCCAGTTTTGGGCTTAATATAAGAGAAAATACGATTGTTGAAATTGAGTAAAGTTAGCATACTCTTCGCCAAAACGCTAACGCTAGCTCACTTGGAAACTGTTGCTACTAGTCACGTGACAAATTTGTAGCCATGGCGACCTGTGGTCACGTTGCCAGAAGAAGAAGAAGCCAATTTGGATGCTAAAGCATTTTCATGTTCTCATGTGACCTTTGCCCAGTTAGGCTAATACTGATAAATAATCTATAGCCTAGATCAAAATGCTGATTCAAAGTCTGTGAATATGCTACAAATCTAGACAGCATTAATCCAAACATTTTATTGGCACATTTTTAAATAACATATAACAGAAATATGAACATAAATATGATACTAGAATAAAAAATTAGATTAGCTAAAAATGGACAGCCAGCTGCTTCCAGGTCAGTACTAATTGTACCTAATCTGCAGCCTGTAAATGTCCTCTACAAACACAAAAGCAAACATTAACATCCCAGATTTAACCTTATAAATGGAATTGGAAATGACAAAAAGACATTTGTTATAATATACATAACGTTGTTCAGCATATTACAATGTATTCATTACAATTACAATCACAATAATCAACTTCCAAATTAAAACAAAAACACTGTTTTACAGCTCCATGACCAATTTTGTGTGTATAAAGTCACTAGTATATAGGCCATTACAAACAAGAAATAATACAAAATTTTATCAATGCACACTCACAACCCTGTGCATGTATGTGAACATGTTGTGCAGATGTGCACATAGAACATACACATAAAACATACTGATTCACAACATGGAAAGGGACCAGCCTGGTCAAAATAAATACCAGTGGAAGTCATGATAATCATGCCACAAAGACACTCCACATGCTGTCTAGATTGGAACTACAGTAGGATCTCTTCATGTTTTTACAGCACACCTTATTCATGTCTGTATAAGGTATATTTTAAAACCAAAAATACAAAATAAGAATGTATTGCTATAATTAATATAATTTAAAAAAGGCTCACGCTTTCATTCCAATCTCTGTACTGTCTGTTCCATTAAGATTCCTGGGACATTTTCTATGCAGAGTGGTTTCAAATGTTATTGAGTTAAATTATCACCCATCATTTTACTGATATTTTCTTCCCAGTGTTATGAATGGCACCATATCTTTTTTCAGAGCTATAAGTGAAACGAAACCCGCATAAACACAAGGTAGAATTTGGGAGTTGAACAATATTGTTCAGTTCACCTCATAAAATGAGGCAGAAAAAGGTATCTGACCCAAACTTTTTAAAAAAAGTTGACATATATGAGGTGAAGCTGAGAAACACAGGCAAAGTACAGAAAGGCCTGCATGTCAAAACCTCTGACAACTGTTTTGGTATATTAAAACTTGGCAGCAGAAGTAAGGGGAAACCCCTGTGTATTCAAAGAAACTAATTCTTGCTAGAGGTGCTTCTGGTACAGTTTGTCAGCAGACAGTTGCTGGCCAGTAGGAGTGAGATTTTGGTCCTTATAAAGGTTGCTCATATACAGGCTACAGAAGCAACTTTGTCACAGTTGCTGGTGTAATGCACATCTGGTCTGTCAATCTCTGGATGCTTCCTGCTCAAGCAGGGAAATGTGAGCAGAAAAAGAAGAAAAGCTCCGAGCACCACACAGCCCCCGCTAAAGTAGAAGGCCATATCATATGACTGTGTCCAGTCAAAGAACCACCCTAGAAAGTGCAGAGAAAAACAGATGTGAGTACAGTCAGCAGAGATTCCTGGCAGAAACAGTGGTCATTTAATTAATCACAAGATGGTTCCCGGAATCCGCATGCCTTTTGCCTTGCTCTGCCTGCCTGTCTTACTTAACTTTTTAGTTTTTTAAAACATGACCTGACATCAGTGTTTATCTCTGTACAAAATAAAAATAGATGTACCACTCCTATCTAACCAACAGTGTAGCAATCCTTAACAATTTTAAAAAGATAAGCCTTCCTACCAACAACAGGGGGTCCAAGCATGATCCCAAATCCCCCGAAGAACATGAGGATGCCATGGGCTTGTGTCAGTCTGTCCAAACCGACAATCTTTGTGGTAATGTAAGAGGTAAGTGACCAGTTTCCAGAGAAGAAACCCAGGATGGCAGACAGGATCTGGAGCCCCACATAACTCTTGGTGATAGGAATAAAGAACAGTGCCACACCTCCTGCAAACATGGTAAAGGCATACAGATAGATGCTGTTCATCCACCTGATGTCCACCAGGATACCCAGCACTAGCTTACCCACACAAGTGGCAATGGCCCCTATTGATACCAGAGGAATGACACTAACTTCTTCCACAAGTCCTTCACTCTGTGCCACATCCTCTATAAAGAGCACTGGAGGGAATGCCCCCAGGCTGAACAGGAAGATAGCAATACAGAAAGCCACCATGGCTTGGTCCTGCAAGATCTCATACATGGAGTGAATGTACTTGGTGTATGCCTGCTGTTTCTTCTTTATGATTTTTATGATGGCCAGCCCAGCCAGGAAGCTACCTTTATTCTTCTCTGTCTGATTGGCCAAGTCCTTGGCATCAGTAGTGATGAGCAACTCCTTCACTGTTTTCTCTGGAGTGGATGCAGTGGAACCTGTAGTGATCTTCAGGCCATTCAGTGCAGGCTTCTCCAAAAGCTGCTCTCCAGTGTTGCGTTCCAGGGCGGCCTTCTGTTTGAGGTAGTACCCCGGCATGTTAAGGGGCCTCATGAAGCCGGCGCAGGCCATGAGGTTTAGTGCTACAGCACCAATGATCAGCAGGCAACCATCCAGGCCATAGAGCACAATCAACTCATTCTGAGCAGTGGCATAGATGAATGCTCCAACACTGGTGCCTTAGTGAGCAGAGGAAGACAAGAATTCAGTGCTGTGTCTAGAAAGTGATAGATCATATAACACAAATTAAAGCCAGTTTTCACAATAGTGTGTATAGCACCTTTCAAGTGGTTTTAATGGTATGAGATTTTACCAGAAAGATTAGATAATCCTAACAAAAACTGGTGCAGGCTACATGATCCTTTACACATCCATCTGTGTTCCTAGATTGTGTCTTCTTTGATACTGCCAAGGACAGAAGGTTTTACTTTTGCTGTTCTTTCAGGTCAAATCTTCCAAGTTCCAATGTAGGGTGCTGCTAATAACCCTCCTCATTAAGATCAATTCTTACTGATACCTTCAGATTACATAGCTCAAACTTCATAAATCATTATCATGAAAGTTTTGACTCTCAGCCCATTGACATGGTTACTCGTCACCAGTGCACATCCCTGCCTAATAGACTACTCTACTTTTGCTACAGTACAGATGTTTACCTTGGCTTCACCAAGCTCCCAGTAGCTAATACATGAAAGAAGTGAGCATGAAGAACTGGTGTGCACCCAGAGAGCTTGGCAATACCTGTGGTAACAATGCCGAGAGCAAGACCGCGCCTCTTGTCAAAATACTGGCAGGTGATTGTCAACGTGGCTGCGTAGACTAGTCCACAACCCAGGCCTATGGCAGGAGAGACGACAAGAAGAGAAAGAAGAATTTCCATTAGCTCAGGTGAAAGGGGTAAATGCTTTTCATATCTAAAAATATACAAGAATGTGACTGCAATTGCACAGTGCACATTAGGAAAATGTCATAGATTTAATGAAAAGGGTACATATATTTTTTTCAAATTTTATTATTATGTTTGTTAATATAATATTTAGAGGTTTTCAGTCAAACAACAGATCAACACTGTGCTTTGTATGATTCAATGAATGAACTCAAAGTACAAAAGTACAAAGATACATTTACATTATACATAAATCCACCAGTTCAGAGGGCACTGTGCATAAGGTTTCTTGCGCAATACAATTAGCAAAAGATAAAATAAACATTTGCTAAGCCATATACAATCTGCATGTGTACAGCCACAGCCATTACATAAGGGAAGCTCTAAAAATAAACGGCATGTCTTCTAATATGCATGTCCTCCCCTCTCCAGTACTGCTAATGCAGAAGGCAGAGCTGACTGTGAGGAATTCACCGGGTTTAAGCATCATTTAATGTGCTAACAGGTGGTGCTGGGCACACACAGGCAGAATGGTGAATGTACAGGGGCAGTAAAGTGTCACAGGGCTGTTCTTCTCTCAACATCCCAAACAGCAATGTCAAACAAATGGTGCAGTATTCAAACATACTGTCTATCTTTTCTCAGTATGATTCTACATACTTTAAGCGGCAAAGGTATTCATTAACTGGAAACTGAGGATAAGTCTACCGCTGATAATAGATGTGACATGTTCCCCTGCTTGTTTCAAATGATTATATTGTGATAAATGATTCTTATATGTTAGAGGGTTAAGAAGCTTAATTAACTCTCATGACTAAAGCAACATCAAAGAAATGTTTTCCTAAACTGACAGATAAACTATGTCTCTAGGCTGTTGTCAGCATTAACTTTGCAGGCTTGTCTCTTGTAGAGTGCAGTTAAAGCACACAAGGGGATCCCTCAACAGTATCATCAGGAGTTTCCTTACCAACCACAATCCCATAGGAAAAGATGAGGAACTGGACATTCGGAGCAAAGGCACTGAGCATCAGGCCGCCTGCCACCATTATTCCACTGAAAAAGGTCACAGGACGAGCCCCAAAGTTGTCAACGCAGGCACTACAGACAGGACCTGAGGGAGATGAGGTAGAAAGTAAGACAGGGTTAGAGAATACGACAGAGAGACCCAGGGAGTGGAAGGGATACTGAGAGGGAAAAAGTGAGAGTGACAGAGGGACAAACATATTGTGGTTGACAAAGGATATGGATATTTAATTTAATGTATTGTGGATAATAAAGTATTTTATCAAAGTTTACTCCCATATCCTGAAACTGCTCGACTCATACATCATATGACATTTTCTATTTCCTTCCCCTCTAACAATGGGGAAGACAGCAGCAGGGAGTGCAGTGCTACAGCTGACAGCTGGGACACGTGACTAGGACCTGGGCAGAGCAGAGACCAAATGTGTTCAGACATGATTTCTACCTCATCCATTTGAGAAAGATAACAGCAAGGAACCAGGCTGGCAGGTGAGCTGTGCTTAGACAAAATGTCAGCAAAGCTTTATATCTTCCAGACAGTATGTAAAGGTCACTGAGTTTCAGTGTGTGTATGTGTGTGTCTTAACAAATGATCCTTACATACAGTGGGTACGGAAAGTATTCAGACCCCCTTAAATTTTTCACTCTTTGTTATATTGCAGCCATATGCTAAAATCATTTAAGTTCATTTTTTTCCTCATTAATGTACACACAGCACCCCATATTGACAGAAAAACACAGAATTTTTGACATTTTTGCAGATTTATTAAAAAAGAAAAACTGAAATATCACATGGTCATAAGTATTCAGACCCTTTGCTCAGTATTTAGTAGAAGCACCCCTTTGAGCTAATACAGCCATGAGTCTTTTTAGGAATGATGCAACAAGTTTTTCACACCTGCATTTGGGGATACTCTGCCATTCCTCCTTGCAGATCCTCTCCAGTTCTGTCAGGTTGGATGGTAAACATTGGTTGACATTTTCAGGTCTCTCCAGAGATGCTAAATTGGGTTTAAGCCAGGGCTCTGGCTGGGCCATTCAAGAACAGTCACGGAGTTGTTGGGAAGCCACTCCGTTATTTTAGCTGTGTGCTTAGGGCCATTGTCTTGTTGGAAGGTGAACCTTCGGCCCAGTCTGAGGTCCTGAGCACTCTGGAGAAGGTTTTCGTCCAAGATATCCCTGTACTTGGCCGCATTCACCCTTCCCTCGATTGCAACCAGTCGTCCGGTCCCTGCAGCTGAAAAACACCCCCATAGCATGATGCTGCCACCACCATGCTTCACTGTTGGGACTGTATTGGACAGGTGATGAGCAGTGCCTGGTTTTCTCCACACATACCGCTTAGAATTAAGGCCAAAAAGTTCTATCTTGGTCTCATCAGACCAGAGAATCTTATTTCTCACCATCTTGGAGTCCTTCAGGTGTTTTTGAGCAAACTCCATGCGGGCTTTCATGTGTCTTGCACTAAGGAGAGGCTTCCGTCGGGCCACTCTGCCATAAAGCCCCGACTGGTGGAGGGCTACAGTGATGGTTGACTTTCTACAACTTTCTCCCATCTCCCGACTGCATCTCTGGAGCTCAGCCACAGTCATCTTTGGGTTCTTCTGTACCTCTCTCACCAAGGCTCTTCTCCCCCGATAGAATTTTTTTTTTGTAACCTTGGCCAGATCTGTGCCTTGCCACAATTCTGTCAATGAGCTCTTCAGAGAGTTCCTTTGACGTCATGATTCTCATTTGCACTGACATGCACTGTGAGCTGTAGGGTCTTCTATAGACAGATGTGTGGCTTTCCTAATCACCTCCAATCAGTATAATCAAACACAGCTGGACTCAAATGAAGGTGTAGAACCATCTCAGGGATGATCAGAAGAAATGGACAGCACCTAAGTTAAATATATGAGTGTCACAGCAAAGGGTCTGAATACTTATGACCATGTGATATTTCAGTTTTTCTTTTTTAATAAATCTGCAAAAATGTCAAAAATTCTGTGTTTTTCTGTCAATATGGGGTGCTGTGTGTACATTAATGAGGAAAAAAATGAACTTAAATGATTTTAGCATATGGCTGCAATATAACAAAGAGTGAAAAATTTAAGGGGGTCTGAATACTTTCCCTATCCACTGTACATTTACACTTTTGCTTTTACCATGCTGCCAGACTTTCAGACTCTTCTCTTTTTATTTATGGTGTTCAAGTATTTTTATATACACAACCTTGCTGAGCAAATACAATATTTTTAGGTCTGTGCTTCTCTTCTTATCTGTGGGTCAGTCTGTCTGTCTTTTCCTCTCTCTGTGGTTAGATTAAGGGCTAAGTGAGCTTCCTACATTCATAGCATGGATGACTTGCACTTGCTTTGCTCTTCTATAAAATCAATAACAGCAGCTCTGCTCAAGGAGCTACAAAGTGCCCATCTTTGTGGCACCAATGCCTTTTTTCTATTCTGTTGAAACATTACAATTAACATTACATTACCACTTGTAGCTATAGAAATCATATTTCCTGGTGATGGTCTGATTGGCCTTTAGTACTGAGCAGATACAGTATCTTTGCCACATATGTCACATGTCAGTAGACATATATCCCATAATAAAATGCAGTGCCAAAACTTTAATTTACTGCTCAGTATAGAACTATCAGATGCAAAAGCAATCATCAAAAGAAGAAATTGTTCCTTCAAATATGCAACATAGCTTTAAAATGTTAGTTACCTCCCATGATCCATCACCCATCCATCTCACAGGAAATATAGTAGATGGCTTTTAGTTTGGCTCTTCAATGTGAACACATGTCAAGTATTATTATGTTATTACAGTGTGTGCTACTCACTGGCTATTAGTCCCACTCCAGCCACAAGGGAGCCCACCCAGGCTGTCATGCCCTTGCCTTCCTGGAAAGCATGCAGCCACTCAGGATACAGGACACCCACCGACTGGGGTGATCCATAGGACAGGAGCTGGGCCATGAAGGAAGCCACAACAATTGCCCATCCCCAGCCTCCATCCAGCACTGTAGTAGATGCTGCCATGGTGATGAGGTTACTGCTGCCACCTGGGATCTGCTACAGCTTTGACAGAGGTTGGGTTCCTGGACAAAGAAAAAAAAAAAACTTTACAGAAATAAAGCTGACAGCAAAATCATTCAAAAGATGATTGGTAGAAAGCATAAAAAAAATATTGCTCATGATTTTCAAAACCAGAGCTAAAAGATAAATAAAACTCTCAAAGCCTTGATTTAATGAAGGCTGCCACAGCACCATTTGGCCTTGCCAAACAGGCGGGTCACCTGAGTTGAGTCCTTAATACACACTGGCTGCAACTAACCCACTGACAGCCGCCCCTTTTCTTCATTTCTTTTTAATCACACCTTGGAGGAGGAGAAACTGAGACAATGGCACTGCTTGGTATCCCTACCTCCTCAAACTGTAATGTGCCTCTTCTATGTTTCAGCTTTGGCCCTTGTTTAGACACACAGAGAGAGGCCTGTCTCCTGTGCAGCTTTTCCAAACCTCCTTCATTATTAATCTGCAGCCCAGAGCAACTTTATACATCACTGCAGCAGCACTACTTTGTTTTAAAATGCTGCTTCAGAGTCAGGGAAAGTTGGCGCAAGGGTCCTGAGATTTAAAATATCTGTGTTTACAATGCAGACTTGCTACATTTTGGCAGTAAATAAATTTAAAAAGATGTAATCCAAGAAAATAATATCCTGAAGAAAATCCCTAAATGCTCAAGGGTTAGTGGTTGCTTCAAATTACACGCTTTATATTCACCAACAGCAATAACCTGTTTCCCATCATATCTCATTACAATACAAGCACTGCTTATGTTAAAAACATGCAGCACTCACCTCAGCATTTACAAAAACAACAGCAGCAGGCGCCTGCAGAGCTGCGCGCTCTACAGGAACTTTCCATGTATGGTTTCTTTGGAGAAAAATCCCCTCCTAAGGAATCTCTACAAATGACATAATCAGGAAAGCCTCGTACACGGATGCTGGTCTGTCTGTGTTGCGATCTACGACGCCCGTGTGTAAGCAGACCTCTCTGCATCAATAATACGCATTGTATATCCTCTTCATACTCCTTTGTAGCCGGTGACAAAACCGGTTCAAAGCTGTTCTTGCTGGCCCAGCAGCAGCAGCAGCTTGAACGCAAACGCTGCTTCCTCCTGCGGGTCTTGATCGCACCGTAGACAGAGACGCATATAATCTCTCCCGCTCAGAGATGTGGACTGTTGTTTACGGCTCATCCGATAAATATGCATATATATTTGTTTATTTTCACAGCTGTAAAAAGAGGAGCGTGCACACGCAGACATAGGGACATGCACAAACATGAAACTGTTTACCTGACAAGGTTTCCTGGCTGTACCACACAAATCAGGTTCTTTATAGCACTTCACAAAGGAATTGAAAAAGTCAATGTAATATAACCCCTCAAAAAATAAACCCACTTTGTTAACTCATCTAATATGCGCTACTTCTGGTCAAGCTGGGTAAATTTGCTACTTCTCTCTAAAGGAGCATTTATATTGCCATCAGTCTAGTCTGAACCGGTTAATGGATGGCCATTACAACAACACCGCACCAGCGGGCAACTGCCTGGAGTAGTTCAGCCCCCGACCCAAGAGCACCGATTACAGTAATACTTGTGAATGAAAGCTTAATCAGCCTTCACATCAATAAAAGATAACAGAAGCCAGAGAAGGTGCTTTAAATTGCTTTAAAGCACAGAGATCAGAGTAAGAAAAATGAGGGATGAAGACAGGAGTCCAGAAGTCAAATTCTTCAGGAACCTTTTCCCAGAAGCTTTTTCCCAGAGCTGAGGTCTGCTGCCAGGAAGGATCTAAAGATTTAGACTCCATAATCCCCTGCTGCCTGAAAAGTTAAGAAACAAGGAACAAGCAAAGAACAATTAATTGTATTGGAGAGTGTGGTGTGGATTATGGAACAGCAGTGATACACTTTTAACACTATTGACCAATGCCAGAATCAATGCTGGTGCTGCATTTTGCTTGTTTGCACAAGTTATTCGATATATTTATTGATGCATTCCAGTGTCTGTGTCTGATCAATAATTCATGAGTTGGGTGACAAATTAAAGGAAAAAAACCTGAATAAATAAGTGGCCTCTTCCAGGATGACAATGCTCCTATCCACAGGGCACAAGGGGTCACTGAGTGGTTTGATGAGATTGAAAATGATGTGAATTATATGCTATGGCCTTTACAGTTGCCAGATCTTAACTTGGTTGAACACCTATTTTTGGACTGGTGTGTTAAAAGTACACAAGGAGAGTCCTGTGGAAGAATGGTGTTCATCCCTCCAGTAGAGTTCAAAGACTTGGAGAGACCTTGAAGTAGAAGGTAGATTCAAGTTGGTAATGACACCAGAGTCTGGAGTTTACTGAACTCTCAAACCTGCTGACACGCAGTTATTTATAGAAGTGATATGGCAGACATTTTGCACAGCCTAGCTGTTTTATCTTGTCATGTGATCTATTTGCCTGAAGTGTCCTGAGATTACTTTCATGATTTGGCACTATACAAATAAAACTGAATTGAATTTGTTTGTGTACAATATCGAAGTTGACAATTTAGCATCTCAGGATTGAAATGGCACAGGGCACCTGAGTGCTCATAAAGTCTGCTGGGGTAAATAATTTGGAGCTATGTCCTGTTTTTATACAGTGATTCTGATATTACAATATCAGGTGGTTCCACCACATAAAAGAGGAAACACTTGACCTAAATAATCACTGGTCTGAATCTAAGCAGTTGGCCAGTTTATCAACATTAAGGTCAAACTTAAAACTGTTCTTGTGCATGTTCTGAAATCAAGCTGTTGATGCTGTCCCACAAGGACCCAATTTGGGGCACAATATTTGCTCTACATAGTAATATATCTAACATTTCTTCACCAGTTAGCACTGTGATCAGTTGTAGGTGTGTGGTTGTCTGTCTAGAAGTGGTAACCCTGTAATGGGCTGGTGACCTGTCCAGGGTGTACCTCACCTCTCGCCCAATGTCAGCTGAGATTGGCTCAGCGCTCCTACGATCAACTTCAGGATAAGCGGAAATAAATAATAGGTGGATGGATACCATCTCAGACCTTCTTTTCAATTTGAAAATTCAATGAACAAACAGGAAAAATCATATTATTTTGAACACAGTCCCACCAAATATTTATCTTACTTAATTCTGTCCTAGCTTGTGACTCATCCACAGCCCACAAGTCAATACACACTCCCAGTTTTATGTGAGCTGACCTAACATTCTGACATTTTTATCCAACTTTTCTTTTTAACTTAATGACACCTGAGAAGCAGCACCCTGCTGCTTTTTGCCGTAAGAGGCTTGGCAGGTGTATACATAAAGAGCCACCCTGGAGTCTGGATAAATCTCTGTTTGGCCACATAGCTCCATAAAGCTGCAGAGGTGAGAGGCCATTGTAGCACCCAGCATGGCTGCCCTGAGCCTGCAGTCCAGATTCCTGCTTTGATTAGTTCAGGTTTCTGACTTCAGCAGCCAGAGAGGACACTGCAAAATAGTACAAAAACACAGGATACACTTTAGTTGTATCAGAGCCCTCAGCAAGTCTTTGGATAAAGATATACTCATATCACTTTTGTTTTGTTTCTGGTGAGTATGGACTGAGTGTACTATATGTGTGAATAGGTTATGGTTACCTAGAGATCTAATGGAAGCCTAATATGTTGCATAGTTATCGCAGCACTGTTCTCCTCCCACCACTGGTTACTGCACCCACAGTACAAGGTTTACCATGATAAATGATCCATGATAGGTGAAAAACACTCCCCCAGTCTTCAGCCAGTTAGAACCATTTAAAACAATGCAGACTAAAAAAAACAAAAATTAGACACTGCCACAGAATTAAGCGTCCACAGAGCTGCTTTTTGCTGTGCTGCTGGCACAGAATAGCAACATCTGCCTGGTGGTTCGTCAGCCCACAAGTTTGGTCCAGACTAACTCAAAAAGCAGGCTACTGAGCACATTTCATTGTAGCACCTGAGGAGGTCAGAATAGAAATGGAGTTATCAGAAGAACTGGAGTTCACTAAGAAACAATTATGAATTGTACCACCAAAGACATGAAGCATGGTGGTAGCAGGTATGCGCATAATGTTCGCCATGAGAATTAACATGCTAACAGGCACATACTCTAACACACAATAAGCCTATAGAGCAGAGCCTGATGGAATGTCACTGGCATCCAAAATAGACAAAAGGAGCCCATAAAATCACTTACTTCAATTTTAACTTGACTGTTCAACAATTTCTCTTTTTTATGGATTTAAAACATTACTGATTTCTGTAAATGAAAGATTTAATATTGTGCAGTGGGCGGTTTATCTGCCATTTCCTATAAATACAACACCTCTGTGTTCCTAAGGTGTTTTGGGGGGATCCTGACCTTTTGCATTGCTTTTGTGGTAGACTGTAAATATTTTAAAGATAAAATTAAATCAAAGCTAAATCAACTGGGGAGAAAAACCACTGGGTCCATATAAATAACATTCACTGGACTTGTCAGTCAACTGAATAATACACTAAATGTTACAAATAGTTGTAGGTTTTTGCGCTGAAATATCTTCTCAGTATTGTATAAGGCTGTATATGTAGCATATCACATTTTATTTAGTTTGACAGGGAGGATGAAGGCATGAGTTTCCCACCTGTCAAAGTCAATGAAATAAACCTTGAGGAAGAACTGGGCCAAATCTGGGACACAGTCCTAAGACCTTATAAAAAATAATTGAATGGCCAAATCATAAAAGGGACAATGAAAAACAAGTTGCCATCTCAAGAGCTTTAATCATACATAGAAATTTTGCTCAACAGTACCATTCATTTAGAATGTTTTGCCAGTATGTATATTTAGTGTAAAGAGCATTATTTTTTTAATGAGGAATATCCATAAGGATGATAGAAGCTTTCAGAAATACACCAAAGAGAGAGAAGAGCAGAGAAGAGACCGAGTACATGACTAAGTTGTATCACCTCAGACTACATTTTTAAACACCTCAAAAGGTGACATTTATCTGTGGCTTATGTACCAGTGTCCATCCTCATTACTTTTTTCCTTTTCATTTTAACTGAAAAGTCATAGAGCCTTGAATGCTTTCAGAAACTAAAATAACTGTGGCACAAACTCTGGTTGATCAATGCCTTATAATGGAAAACTCCTAGCAGTCTGCTATGACACCTCGTTGACCTAATCCAAAGTCTAAACTTGGCTTAACTTGTTGACACTGCTTCAGAGAGAAAGGGGCAGGGTGAGCTGGAGCAAACATTACTGCAATCAAGTGTCACATATCTTGAAAGGAATCGACCACATATCAAATCATCCAATTCCCTGGGCATACATCCTTCCATCAAGCCAAACATCCATCCTATGACAGAACACCATCATGAAACATATTGTATGTGCTGTTTGTGCTATCTTAGAAGCGCCACAACAATTCCAACCAGCTAGTTCCAAGCAATGAAAACAAAAACATAACATGTACAAGACAAAAGGTGGAACAGATAATTGGCCTACAAATCCCAGAAGCGACTATTTTTCAGTCCATTCATTCCTTTTAAGAGTAGTTAAGTAACGCCACAGGAGGATTTGGCAGGCGGCCAGCTTCACTGAGCTGCTGTCTTGTTTCTTTCCCCTCTAAAACTTTTGGGGCTGCTTCATTTGTGGAGTTGGTAAAGAGTAAGAAACTCAACTTCCAGAGCTGGCAATGATGGAAGCTGCTGTTGCGGTAGCATCGTGGCATTCAGTGGGCACACTCGCGTGCAAAGACCGAGCCCGTGTGTGGTGCTAAGGCTGGGAGGGTGGCTGCTGCTGTGCTGCTGCTGCGTGCTGCGACATAGCTGCCGGGGAGGACATGGACTGGACCATGGGCTGAGCTGGTGGGGGTAGTGGAGGCTGAGCCTGCTGGGCCCCTGAGTGTGTGTTTGGGGAGGGTGGGGGTGTTGGACGTTTGAATTTGTCAGGGCTGGTGCTTCTTCTTGGGGAAGGCCTCTGTTTGAGAAATAGAGAGAATAATAAATCTCATCTTGTACAGCAAGTAGATGGCAACATTATAAACACTTTGAAACTAGGGTCTAACCAACATCATGTGAATATAATAACAGACAACAAAAAAAACTATTTAGCTTTAGGCATATACAGCTAAAAGGTACATCTCAATAACAATGTAAAGAAGTGAGATGATTGTAGCACCAATTTTTGTTGGGCAGAGTTGTTACAAATTGCTGAAGGAAAACAAGGTCCCCCCACTGAACTAAGGTCATGAACTGACAATTCCAGTCAGAGGAATGGAAACGGCAAAGGGGGTTACAGAAAAATCAATCTGTCTGAGGTTCTGTTCTGGTCTCCCACGCAGTCATTTCCCTGTTTAACTCCTGGGTGGGATGAGTGATGATGGGAGACACGTGGTCTTTATCATCCACATGAATCAAAAGAAAATGGATGAATGCAGAGTACCAGAGAGAGAAAGAGGTATGCAACAGCACAGAACAGTGAAAGAAAATGTGCAAGTATGGATATTGTATTCTACACCGAACATGTTTAAAGACAAATGTAAACATATAAAGATTTGAATGTAAAACAAAAAACTGCAAAAGCAAGAACTTCACAAGTTTATACATGTACAACACTGCAGAATCTTAGCAACCTGTTAAGGGATTAGTCCAAGCCATCTCATTTTCCGTGAAGATGCAGGTCACAGTGAGCTCAAGCGTACCACGTTGGCAGCACACCCAGTGAAAGAGTGAAACATGAGCAGATGCAACTACAACTAGCCACATAGTTTGTTTCAGCTAGAACACCAACAGTATACTGCAGTTATTGGGCTCAGCCATTCGTCAAGTTGAGTGTTGGTGGGAGACATTTGATAATCATTTTTTACATGTAAGATGATGACTTTATACTGTAACTATACTGTATTTACTCAGTCAAAAGGGACACGCTGTATATTAGTATTAGCAACAAAACTGTCCATGACATTCAAAAAGGCAGGTCTACAAATTCAGCAAAAGACAAAGGGAGTGCATGTGCTCTTTTGGAATGCTCTTATTGACTGTTAAACATCTCAACTGTGTGCCGAGTTTAATGCTACTTTGCAACACAATCTGCAATAAGTGTAGTGCAAAAATCATACCAACATGTACAAAGAGCCTACATTTTCCACCATAAATTTGTCTGAGGTCACAATTAAAGCTTAACTTTCCATCATTCAATTTCTTTTTGACAGATTTGTTTTATGCTGATGGTACCAATAAGAGCAATTGCCAAATATTAAAACATGTTAATACAAGTAAAATTATTGTTACCTGTATTTTCACATTCAAATTATGGCTCAAAAAACTAACTGAGCCCTGGGTTGCAAACTACAAGGAGCTGCGGGTAGATTTTACTTACTGCTACGGCATGAGAGGAGCTTCCGTGAATGTGCAGGGCAGGGGCGTTATAGTGGGAGATGCCAGCTCTGGACAGTGTAGCTGGAGGAGTGAAGCCAACTGTGTGGCTGCCATATGAAAGACCTGTGAAAGAGTGGGGGGCAGACAGGACAACAAAGTTGCACATACTCCGTTTCTTTGTCAAAGGATTTCTTGAATATCTGATGAACGTACAAAAGCTTTATTGTTTCTGTTTTGAAAAAATTAGTAGGTGCCTCCACTTAAACACTGAATGACCACTCTCTTTGACAAAGGTTACCTTGCTGACTGCTGTATTACCTGGACAGTGGCCATCTAAAATACACGTACCTGGTGATATGGGTCGGCTGGAGCTGGGGGAGGGGGTATAAGGGATGGGGCTAGACACGGTCCTTGCTCGCAAGCCCTGGGCAGACATCTCGTTGAAGTACCTGAGGGAATAACATGACTAATTTATACATATTCAGCAGATTTCTAGCCCCCCCAAAAAAAAGAAATCTGTGATGTGAGGCAAACATAAAAATAAGTGACAGCCTCACTAAATCATGTTGCTCCCTCAAAGAAACTGTAGTGTATGTCACGTAGTGCAGTAACAAAATAAATGTAAACTTATCAAATATATAACTTCACATTTAATAATCAAATTTCTCTAATCACATTAAAAGAATTTGCCATTTTAACTGTAATTTAAGCCCAAAAACCTGAGAAGCCTGACACAGTGAAATAAACTATAATTAACTATCAAACCCAAACAATGGACATTCCAGCGTGCTATAGGCTTGTATTTTAACACTGCCCTGTGACATTTGTTAACCCTTTTTCCTTCTGCTGCTTTTGCTCTGCATTGGTTGGTCAAAAGCTCAAAGCATTTGCTTGATTATTAATGCAAGTAAAAAGACCAAGGAGAGCAGAGCTGTATTAAGCTGGGTGGTCTGTGCGTCTAACATGAAGACGCCAGTCGTGCTTAATGGACATCATGTTCTTATAGTGCTAATCACAAAGAAAGCTATTAACCACCAATTGTTGTGGGCTGAGGTGGCAGAAATGCCTGTTGTCTTCTGCATCTCTCCCTGTTTTGTTCCTTCATCTTTTCATTGTCAATGGTTCAAGCCTCCTTCATCTAATCAGCAGTGTAAATGAGCAATGGAGCCAAATGCTTCTCCACCTACACTGCAACAGAGTGGGCATAATCTCTACCTCTCATCATCCATCTCCAGACTGGATTCACTCTCTGACAGCTGTCTGCACAGGGCCTCCCTGCGTTCCATTTCTCTCTGAAGCTTTCTCTGCAGCCGTATGTTCTCCTCTCTCATGTGTCGCTCCTCCTCTATGTACTGGGCACGCTTCTCTGTGTCTAGGAGGGGGACACACAGAAAAGGTGGCATCAGACATATAGCTAGAGCTTGACACTATCCCAACATAATCAGTAACTATTTTACAAGGTAGCAAGTAAAAACTGTTGTACTTGTAAAAATGAACAATCCATAAACCAAAAGATTTTATCTGAAAAACTGTACAGACATAAAATAATCCCTTACAAAAATCTCCAAGAACAACCAAGTTTGATTGTGTAGTAAAATATTTTCTTTTCAGAACAAAGTGAAAGTGGGCCATTGTTGATCTAACACCAGATTATAAGGCAAGAAACATTATGATGTCATTTCAGTAGCAATGCTGTTAACTACTTGCCACAGCTTCTCAGATCATGTGTTAAAACTTTGTCTAAGAGCTCCCTCTAGTGGTGAAACTAGCCACAGACCAAATAATATTAAGCAACACTAAGGAATGTGTTTATACTAATGGCACCTAATGTAGTGGGACAGAATATCTTATAGAAATAAATAAGAAAGGGGGGAAATGGTAGTTTAGGACTTTATAGGCTTTTGTTAACTGCTGTGCAGTAAAGCTTCTTCATAAATCCTTAAGGTATCTTCAGGTATAATGTGACCAGTGAATACCAGGAGTTAACTAGGCTGTAAACTGTGTCAGCACAAAGACAGAAAGCATCCTCTTCTTTCTAGTCTCTGTAAAACAAGCCAAGCCCTGGTGTAGAGTGAATTTGCCTGTCACTGCTATCTGAGGAGCACATCCTTATTCAACACTTGACAGAGTCTGCTCCTTCAGTCCTCCCTGTGATCATGTGACAAGTTGAGAGGCCACTTACGCTGCAGCTCAGTGGTGCGCAGGCTTTTCTTAAGCCTCTCCACCTCATTTTTCAGGAAGCGGATATGCCGCATCATGTTCTCTGGTGAGTCTATCTCCATGGAAATGTCTCTTGGGGAGGGAGGAGCTGATACAGGCTGGTCCAACTTCTCCTGAAGGATCCTAGTTTAGAAAAACAACACACTGTTACTATAATTCACAGAGAAATTATGGGGATGATGACAATAAAATCTGAGATTCCCCTGGACAACAGCCCATTAGGCTAAAGTAAGAATTTTCCTGTCAAAAATAAAAAATTGTTGCTGGCTGGATACTCCTGCAGACTGAAAATAGCTCTGATTTGAAATGAATGACTATATATAGTCATTGAGCTTATTGTAATTCGTGCTAATGACAAGTCTCCAGAAAGCTACAGCTGAGTACTGCTAGACAACTTTAAGTTTTAAGCTCAGACAGAAGTAATACACATTGCCAAGTACAGTAATTTTATACTGTTTATGTCTCAGGGAACTCATCAGGAACTCATCACACCCCTTGTTATGTTCCTCATGGCTTCATTCAGAAATGCCCATTACAGCGAACAAGAGGAGTGTGCAGGGACTGCCTATGAAGTGCAACACCAAAGAGATACTACCAAAAAAAAAAAGGGAAGGTGGTATAACCAATTGGTCTCCTGTTAGTTATACCATAAAACTCAGTTTGGAAAAATGTGTCTAAGAATGAAGCTTTTCATTATTTTTGTATTATTTCGAAGATGGTCCCTGCGAAACCATCTCACAGCGAGAAGCACATATGATATGAAAATTAGGCTGTAGCGCCTACCTACCTTATTACAGTAAAGAGGCATCACTTGTGTTTTAACAATGTTTCTCTTATGATTATTGATGCAAGAAATAAACTGTAAATATTTTGTCCTAGGATTGGTCTTATGCTACTTTATGAAGTTTAGTTTTTTTTTTTTCCCCAGGAAAGAAAGTAATAATTTATATCCAGAATACCTGGTCGGTCTTGCCGAGTAACATAAGCTTATTTGGAGGTTTTCTCTAATGTTTTCAGACATGCAAGTAGGCCCACCAGTCAGCAAACCAAGCTGTCTTCATACAGTTCTCTTTCTTCTTCATCTTTGTCTTTGGACTCAGACTGCACCAAAATTTCCTGTAGTCTCAAAGAGCCAAATACTAAAACTGAAAACCGATTACCTACCCAAAGAATGACAATCCGAACAGACGAATAATTAGGTCTAGCCCTACTAACTACTGAACTGATTTTGGGTTTCATGTTTGTTAAAGTGTGACTATGGCCATAGACGAGGTCTGAATCTAAACTCACAACAGAAACATTTCAAATGTCCATCATCTCCAAATCACATGCGTAACATGATCATTCCACACCTTTTCTCAGCCTCCAGTTTGTCCATCCTTTTCCACAGTCTGTTGACCAGGGCTTCTTGTTCCTGCTCTAGTGTGTTCTCAAGGTCGATCTTCTCCCGCCTCAACTGAAAAAAAAGAAAGAGAAAAAGAAGAGCAGAGAAGGACTTTCAGAGAAAGCCTTGATGTAGAAAAGCATTCAGAGGACTGCACACAAATAATAACCAAAGATTTCTTTCTAGCTAAGCTTCTCTTTCATGGAGTTTTAGCAATGTGACATGTGAGAAAGACACAGTGACAGAAAAACAGCAATGCGGGCAGTCCATAAAGATCTCTTTATTGCTAACTGATATACAAGGGCTCATTGGTGTTTTGTGGTGAAATAAATCATAATTTTAGTGAAAATGCCATTTGGTTACATCGCTCTCTGGTCAAAAAGGATAGACATTACATAAGCATTTCTTTGACGCATCCATAACTAGGCAGCAACAATGCATGCATATCTAAGGAAAAATTCTCTCAAGCGGCTTCAGCACCCAAAGGTTTGACCCAGCCACAGACCAAAATGCTCTGTCCAGCTCACATTCAATGGGAATAATTAAGGGTGGTGAAGTTCTGACTTCTCATACTACAATAACTAGACACACAAATTCAGGGACATATTACTCTAACACTGGATGCTGAAATCGTCTTGCTCTGCTATGTTAGCATACCTGTTCCAGGGTCAGCTGCTTTGAGATGGTTTCATTCTCCATCTTCTTGATCTTTTTCATGAGCTTGTTAACCTGGAACTCCTGCTCCTGCTCCAAGTGCTGCTCCAACTCTGCTTTTTCATGCTGGAGCTAGGATGGAAAAGGGGAGGACAGTGCATGGACAGAGGGAATGAAGAAGTGGATGAAATGGAAAAAGATGAGCAACAGCACAAGAAAAGACACAGTCACATAAAAACTATTTGAAGACCACAGTGAATAAACACAGTGGTGACAGAATATCATATTTAGCTTATACACTGACAGTATAGAAAAAATAAAAAAACAGGAAAACATAAAATTCTACCATATTAACAGGTAAACTTCCTATAGGACTGAAGAGTGTAAAATAGTGTTTTGGCAATTGAAGTAGCCACCTCTGGCAGCTCACCAACACAAAGAAAGGGTGCGGTTCAG